AAGCCACGACCCTGAATTAAACCCCTCTCTGCTCCAACCACCACTGGAGACTCCAAAAGCAACTTCACCAACAGAGGAAATCTTGATATCTCTCCTCCTGAAATAGCACTGGAGAAGAGTTAAGATCTTTTAGGCTGAAGAACTTGGACAAATGGAGTAGGAGAGGGTTTTGTTGTGGTGGTTTTTTTTTTTTTAATTTTATTTTATTTTATTTTTTTTTATCCCCATCATCATTTATTATTTAATTTTCCCCTCCTCAGGTAAAAGTGGGGAGCTTTTCTTCCAGGCTGGTTTTATCCCATCCATAAATATTTCAGGAAGAGCTCTGTGGGCAGCAGGTTTCTTCTTGGCATGAACAACATCCAGTGCCTGGAGGGTGGACTCCTCTGAAACATTTGTGGGATCCCATAAATGTAGCAGGATCCCGTAAATCCGAACAAAAAGGAGGACAAGCAATTCTCAGGGGGCACAGCGAGGGATCCCCTCGTTTGTTTACCCCACAAGCCCAGCGTGACTATTTTATTTTTAAAATAAAATTCATTGAATTTTGAATAAAATTCAGCCTCTCTGAGCAACCATCAGCCCGGGGTGAGAAGCTTAGGGATTCCTCATGGGTGGGGGAATGAAGAACCTCCACAGCTATTTTTGGCCTCTGTGTGTCCACATTGTTCTGTCCATGGATGCAGCAGGGATTTACTAAAAACAAACAGATATCCAGGGAAGGGGGGGTGAGGGCAGCTGCTCCCATGGGCAGGTGCCAACATTGAGGTACCCAAGCTGAAAGCACAGCAAGGAAGAGCTCATGGGAGCAGAGATTTAACCCAGATTGGGTGGTGGATGTTGGAAAAGGTCCCTTTTCCCTCTCTGCTCCCACCAGAGCGCCCTGCTGGGGCTTTGGAGCTCTGCACACCTGTGATGGATCCACGGCCATCAGGGGCCTGGATGCAGGTCAAGGAGGGGATGGAAGGAGCCAGCACAGCACCCAAAGGCCTTTGGGAGGCTGCTGGGCCATGGACTGGGATGGGGACAACCAGCAGGAGACTGTCCCCCCCAGCACACAAGAGAGGGGCAGGAGGGATGTGTTTTAGGAGAATCCTGGAGGGAAGCCAAGGGTTTTTAGCAGTGCTGGATCCCAAAGGTCTCCTCTTTTCCCTTCGCAGCTTCAGCTCCTGCTGCTGATGTTGCCTTAGCAACCTCAAAGTGTGTCCGGGGGCTCCAAAAACAGGGAGCCTCCTGGAGCCCTCCCCGTGCTGCTCCCCATTCCCTTTGGGAAGGAAAAAGCTGAGGATGCAGGAGGAGCATCCCCTGTCACTGGGGGATGTGTGATTGAACGGGTTCCAAGCCACGTGTGCCCCTCACAGTTCCTTAAATCCTGGCTCCAGATCCTCCCCTCCTGCACGGTGTGGACCTCAGTCATTTAATCACGGATCCTTGGAGGTTTTGTGGGTGGGACCAAAAAAAAAATCCCATTCCCTGGAAGCTGGGGTGACACGCTGCTCCGGGGGCTTTGGGATGCTCCGGGGGGGGAAGGTCTGTGTCACACGGCCTCGTGGGGCTCCGGGGGATTCGGGACACACCATCCCTCGGGGTTCCACACCGGGATCCAGGACACGCCGTCCCTCGGGGCTCCGTGGGGTTCCCTCCGTGGGACCTCGAGGGGTCCGTGTCACCCCACCCCAGGGGCAAGTGGGGAGCTCCAGGAGGGTCCGCGTCCCCCTGGTCTTTGGGGCTCCGGGAGGATTCGAGGGGCTCCGTGTCCCCTCGCTCCTGGGGGTTCCGGGGGTCTCCGTGTCTTCCCACATCGGGGGGGTCTCTGTATCTCCCCACTCCGGGAGGTTCCAGGGGGCTCCGTGTCACCCCTTCCCGGGACGCTCCGGGGGTCTCCGTGCCACCCCTTCCCTGGGGTTTCCAGGATGTCCCGAGGGTCTCCTTGTCCCCCCTTCCCGGGGCACTCCGGGGTCTCCGTGTCACCCCTTCCCTGCCATTCCCAGGCGCTCCGGGGTCCTCCCTGTCCCCCTTTCCCAAGGGTTTTTTGGGGGGTCTTTTTACCCCCATTCCCGGAGGCTCGGACGAGCCACGCACCCATCGCAGGGGGGACAGCGGTGGGAGCTGGACGCGCCCATGAGGGGCGGGGGGGGTGGGATGTGTGATGGCACCGGGGGGTGTGCGCGCCGGGGGCTGGAGTTGGGCGAGCCCATTCCCGCCCGGAGGGGGTGGCCACCGGCACCCCGCGCTGCGTTCCCTCCCACAACCCGCGGCTCGTCCGCCAATTCCCCACCGCACTCGCTGCGAGACGAGATGAAATCTGAAGATGGGCGCTGTGCGGAGCGAGGGAAGCGAGGCGGGTGTCGCTGTCTGCTTTCCGTGTGTGTGTATGTCCCCCTCTCCCCGCGCGGAGTGGTGCGCGCGGCGCGGGGCGGGGCGCGGCGCGGCCGCGGCGGGGCCGCCCCGTCCCTGAGGCGCATCGCGGTCGCCATGGCGCTGAGCGGCCGCGCCGCGCTCCTCCCGCCGCCCCCGCGGCCCCCGGCCCGGCCCCGCCGCCCCGCCGCCTCCGTCAGGTACCGCCGGCAACACCCGGCAGGGACGGCAGAACGGCTGACAGCCCGGCGGGAGGGCTGCGCTGAGGGAGGGCGTGAGGGGAAGGGTGGTGGGGGTGATGAGGGCTGTCGAGGAGATGGTGAGGCGATAAGGGGTTTGATGTGGCCCGGACTGGGGTGTTCAGAGAGCTGGTGGGGGAGAAAATGGGGTTTAACGCCTGTCTGAGGGCGTGGGGATGGGGAGGATGGGGGTGCGTGTGGGGGGGGGGATAGAGGAGGTGCATGAGCTGCGCTAAGGAAGGGCTTTAAGGGAGATGATGGGTTGATAAGGGGTTTTTTAGGGCCCAAGCTGGGGTGATCGGGGGGTTGACTGTGGTGATGGGGCAGAAAAATAGGGTTTAACGCCGGTTTGAGGGCGTTGGGATGGGGAGGGGCGGGGGGTGCGCGGCTTTGGGGGCGCTGGGATAAAGGGGCATTAGGGAGGGGCTTTAAGGGAGACGATGGGGCCATAAGGGGCGAGGTGTGGAAGAAATCTGGGGTGTTCCGAGGGCCGACTGTGCCAATTGTCGAGAAAATCGGCTTTAACGCCTGTTTGAGGGCGGTGGGATGGGAAGGAAGGGGGTGCAGGGCTTTGAGGATGCTGAAATAGAGGGGTTGGGGCATTGAGGAGGGGTTTTAAGGGAGATGAGGGCGTGTTAAGGGGCTTGATGTGACCCAGACTGGGGTGTTCAGAGAGCTGATAGTGCCGATTGTGGAGAAAATAGGGCTTGACACCCCGATTTGGGGGCGTTGGGATGGAAAGGATCGGTGCAGGGCTTTGGGGGTGGGACAGAGGGGTTGGGGCATTGAGGAGGGGTTTTATTTTTGGCATGCAGGGGTGTTTTGGAGGGTGTTGCAGGGGAGGTTTGGGGTCATCAAGGAGGTTTTGGTGGGGCTGGAGCAGTGGGAGCAGGAGGGAAGGGATTGGCACAATAGGGACAGGCAAATTGGGCAGGTGGCCACCAAGGAGGAGGTGTTGGTGGCCCTGGCAGGGGGGGCAGAGGCAAGGGGCCTGAGGTGACCCTTGTGGATGGAGGGATTGGAAAAGCTGGAATGTGTGAGGCCATGTGAGATGGTGGCCTTGGCTCTGGGAGCTCAGGTGTCAGCTCAGGTGTCCTGGGCTTGCCAGGGCTCTGTTCCCTTGAGGAGATTTTCAAGAGCAGCCCCGTTATCTGAGGGGTTTGAATAGGGGGGACACTCTTCTTGTGCCAGGGGACGTTTAGGTTGGATAACAGGGGAAAATTTCTCCACTGGGAGGGTTGTCAAGCGCTGGAACAGCTGCCCAGGGCGGGGGCGGAGTCACCAGGTATTTAAAAGGTGTTTAAAAGCCATTTCTGCGGCCCTTGGGGACGTGGGGTTTTGTGGTGGCCTTGGCAGCGCTGGGGCGAGGTTGGACCCGCTGGTCTCGGAGGGCTTTTCCAACCTTCACGGTTCTGTCCCTTAATGCCACAAAGAACAGCCCAGGAGCCGAAGTGCTGGCTGCTTTCGATAGTTCCAGCACAATACATGGAAGTATTCACCGGTGGGAAGCCGGAGAATAGGGAAACAGGGAACGTTGCACGTGAATTGCAGACAAACACTCGGCCGACCAACCTGGGGCTGCGTTTTGCTGGAGGTTTTCAATTAAAACAAAACAAAACCAACCAAACAAATAACAAACAAACAGCTTTTTATGTTCAGCGCAAGAAGGCAACAAAAGCATTTTCACTTTTTGGAGGAATTCTGCTCCGAGGGGAGAGGAATGGGGATTGTTCTGCTGGGAACACGTGGCCGTGCCGGTTGTGTTCCCTCTCTGCCTGCCCCCAGAGATGGAATTGCTCATGAGAGAGATGCAAAAGTGACCTTTGCAAATAATTTTTTGTCACTGAATAAATGAATCTTAATTGTTTAGGAGGAGCTCAGTTGTTTCTTTAGGGCACCTAAAGCGCCGAGATGGGAACAACATAAAAAAAAACGCTGCAGAAGAAAATGGTTTCCACTCAAGCCTCTCTCTTCCTGAGTGATTTTTGTAATCTGAGAGCCCGTTTTAGAGTTGTCATGAGAACATTTAGGCTCTAGGAACATCTGCAAGCTTTTGAGCTCCACTGGGAGCTCCAGCCAGCATCTGGAATGTGGCACTTGAGAAGGAGCCGTGTCGTCTGTTCATTTTTTTTCCTCCTCAACGTTTCGTTCTTGTGTTCTCCTTTTTTTTTGATTTTTTTTTTGGATTTTCAGCCCAGATGGAGGCCAGTGTTTGCAATAAATTCCCCAAGCACTCAGCAGATAGCAGGCAGTTCATAAAAATAACTTAAAACAAAGCAATCTGTGACCCTCCCTCGCCCTGCCCCCCCCCCCGAGTCCCAAACGGGAATGGAAAAATTCTTCAGACTATATAAAGGCTGGAGTAAGGGCCACAGGGAATTCTTGGAGTTCTTCCACATACTCTGGAGTTCTGCTGTGCCATGTGGGGAGCTGGCGACCCTCAACAGCACCAGCAACTGAAGGGTGGGGGTTGGACATAGAAATGAAAAATCCCTTAGCTTAGAGAGGAAAACTGCCCAAAAAAGGGGATGTCTTCTTGGAAGGTGATGTCATCCTTCCTGTGCCTGTGCTCGGTGGTGAATGAGCGTTTTCCTTCATTTCTGAGCAAATTGCCTATTAAATGCTTGTTTTAAGTATCTCCCCCTGAAAATCGACGTGGATTTGGTGTGTTTGGGAGGGCTCCGCTCCCCTCCCAGTTTCAATCACCTTTATGCAAAACAGAGCGGGCAAACCCTCCGTGTTCATTCTGGTAACAGCACACAGGAGAGTTCTCCCCACGCGGGGAAATGCAAAACGAGGCCCTGGGTTCATTTTCCTGCTGTCTCCTCCTCCGTGCTTACCGTTCTCCCCCCCTGAACTCGCAGCGTGGGTGAGGATGTGGCTTTTCCCTGCGGCTGCAGAGGAGCCCCGGGAGGGCCGGAAACAGGGACTCGTTGTGGTTTCCCAACCGGTTGTTAATGGGGGGCTCTGTGTGGAAAGATTGAGTCTGCACCCGACGGGAATCACGCTGAGGTTCAGGAGTTTTAGAACAGCGCAGTTCCACTGGATTGTTTTCAAGGAGTTTTTAAGGAGCGCTCCGGATTTTAGCAACGCAAAGGCAGAGAGGTGATTTTTGACTCGCCGAAGTTACAGGAGGTTTGGGGGAAAAAAGGGAAGCAAACGTCATTCCTTGGTGAAATAAGGTGGCTTAAGGTCTGTGCTTGACTGCAGCCAAAGTTAGGAGTGAGGTGGGATTAAAGAAGTGGTGGGAATAGAGAGGTGGAAGGAAGATTTGGGCCGAGCAGAGCAGAGCTGTCACATCTGCTCAGCCGCCCCTGGAGCTCCAGCTCAAGTTCCCCTCTTTGCAGATGTTCGGATTGAGCCGATGGAAAAGCGTCTCGGAGCTCCGTGGCCACGTGGCTGCACAGCTTGTGCTCCAGGGACGGGCTCGGAAGGGCAAATTTGAGGCACCCGCAGCTTAACTTGGGATTTTTGAGGTGCCAGACAGGCAGAACAATCCCCCTGGAGCTGCTGCTGAGCAGGTTCATTTTAGAGAAACTTGGGAAATAGCTGGAAAATTTTGTATTTTAAAATATGTAACAATACATATTAAAATACATTAAATTTCATTACATTCAAGTACATTAAAAAATGTGTTTTAAGGTGGGTGAATGCCATTGTCTTTTGTGAAGGCCGAGCAGTAAAAGTTATTTTAGTGAGCTATGAAAAAAAACCAGCAAAAAACCCCAAACAAAACAAAAAATTGAGAAAGTATGTCACTGTTCAAGCTAAATATTAAATTTCAAATAGTCCACTTTTGAAATTATTGGAATTCTCAGAGCCTTTGTAGCACGGTCTGACTTTTGTTTTTCACAGCTCCAGTAAGGTGGTGATAATGTCAGACTGGGGGAAATCCTGGACTCTGATATATCAGACAATAATAATAATAATAATGTTTCAGGTAGAAATTAGAAAGTCAACAAAAGGCCCATTGAAAATAACCTTGGTTTTTTTGGAGGGGGGGGGGAGGCAGAGTGGAACCAGATGGTCGTAACAACAAGTTAATAAGACATGAGATTTGGGAATAAATAACTTCCCTATTTATTTATTGATGTTAAATCGAGCAGTTACTGTGTGAGGTGGCGAGCAGGGACCTGGCCGAGTCACTCCCAGCAGATGAGCCCTGGCCACGTGAGGATTCAGGGATAGCAGATTTTTTTTTCCCCCCCCTGGTTCGCTGCCGTCCATCAAACCTCGGCCACGTGCGGGTTTTTGGGAGCCTTTGTGGGGGAGGAGCAGCGGAACATCTGCCGCGACACGGAGGGACATCCCACCCTTTGTCAGCCGAGCGGGGTGGGGTGTTCACTATCGGCGATCGGCCGGATCGATGCTGATGTCGCTGCCGCTGCCGAATTCCAGCCGGCAGCGAGGGAAAGTGGGGGAAAATAAACGGAATTCAGCGGGGAAAATCGGGCAGCGAGGAAACGTGCCTGCTCTTTGTGCTGGGGGAAGGCAGAGCTGTTAATATTGCCTTTATTTGCCGACAGCCTGTGCCTCGCAGCGCCGTGTCTGTCCCCGAGCTGTGACAGCCCGGCTCTTGGAAGGAGAGGTGCTTTGCATAATTAGTGTGAAGACGCCAACAGATGAGCGCTAATTCTTAGAAGTTAATGATTGTCAATTATCATCCGCTCCCCTCCTTTTTTTTTCCTTTTGGATCTAGTCCAAGATCAGCAGAAAATCAAGCACCTCAAGGTACAGTTCCTTAATTGGCCCAAACACCCTTTTATTGCCAGATGTCACCCCAAACGGTGGCGTTGCCTTTTGACCTGCCTTCATCAGCAGTCAGCTCAGCTTTGCTGCTCTTGGGAAGCGTTGTTTTCCTTCTAATTCCCGGCCTGGAGGCTGTTTGGATCCATAAGCTTGATCCGACTTGACACATGGCTGCGGGATCGTTAGTGCAGACACAAAGGCAGCGGGAAGGGCGAGGCTGCCCCTTGGAGCGTCTTATCCTGCCTGAAAACCCGGGGAGAAATCCCATCTCCTGGCCAAAAGCGCCGGGAAAATTCCCACTTCCCCTCCTGCAAGTTCTGAAGTTGTTTTGTAAGGCTGTGGAATCATAAGTAGCTCCCAGTTCTTGTCTTGTCCAAACTCACGGAGATGGAGACTTGAGTTCAGGGGAGAATCTCATGGAAAGATTTTGGGGGCTTCGTGAAATTGTCCTTCCAAACGCCCCTAATGGGACAAATTAATGGAATTGTGGGTATTACGTGTGTGGTGGCTCCAGAGCCACATCTTCCAGGGGAAGAAGCCCAAATCCCGGAGTGCTGTGCCGTGGGGTGGCAACTTCCAGTTTGTTGTGTTTATTCCTAGTTTGTTTCTGTTCGAAGCCGTGCAAAGGAGTTAAAAGTCAGCGAGTGCCCTTGCAGGGAGCTTGCCTGGGAGTCGGGAAAAGCCGTGGATTTTTGTTCCCAGCGCAGTCCCTTTGTTTTTGTCAGCTGGCTGGTTAATGTGAAATGCAAGAAAACGCCTTCTCCCCCCCTCTCCCCACCCCTCCCCGACTTTCTACCCAGTTTAGCCTGTATTGTTTACAAGCATGTCATAAGAATTCTAATTATTCTCTTCCTTGTCTCTGAAAGGATTCTCTCTTCACACACACCAGTCTGCTGTGCTTCTTGCCAGCCTTTGAATGCGGTGCTTCAGCCACACTTGAAATGAGGGTGGAAATATTTCTGGGCAGGAGCTTTAGGCGAAGAATCCTCTCCCAGAAACCTCTTCTTTAAAGGAGGAGAAGCAAAATCTGCCGCTGAAGGGGGTTAAGAATGAAACGAAAACATCGTTTTCATGTCATTACATCTCGTTGTGAAGTGGTGAACTTGTCATTTGTCCTGTTCCTTCACCTTCTGTGTCAGGACTCTCTGCTGACACCCAGATTTACTTGGCAAGAAGTATTTGAGCAGCTTAATCTGAGAATTTAATATATTTTTAAGGAAGAAAAGAAATACCCACCCCAAAACAAACATGTTTCCCCCCCCAAGTTCCTCTCCCCTTTTCCCTCCCACTGCAGTTGACTTGGACAGCCCAGAAAATACTTTCACAGAGCTCAGGAAGGCAACAAAATACGTGTATTTTGCTTTTCCTCTGCTCTGGGTCATAAAATCTTACTTTAAAAGATAAGTGTGGTTGGGTCACCCTTTGGTGGAAGGTGCAAAAATTAAAATGTAAAGATCTTGGGAATAGTTTACCTTGTATCATATATATATATATAAAATATATACATAATGGTAATGGTTTTTAATAATGGAAAGATGAGGTTTCTACCTTGTTCTTTGTCAAATAGAGTTCTAATCATTCTTTTTTATAAAAAGATCAGGATAGGGGGTAAATATTCAAGCAAACTCAATGTGTGTATTCCTGCCAGGTATATGATGCATAAGAGGCTTTAAAAACGTTTCACTCTCCAGAAAAACCTGTGTTTGGCTGGAGAATTCCTTAAATTTGCCTTCAGAGCTGAACACAGGGAGCAGAGGGATTATTGCATCTCGTTTCTGAGGAGCTGAGTGAAAAATCTCCCCCTTGTGCCCTGGGATAGAAAGGTTGTAACACCCTTTGTGGGGACAGTTTCTCTCCTCACACATTGATGTACATGAAGTTACTTCATTTTCTTGGGTCTTTTTTGGTTTTGCAGAGGCTTTAACAGTTCTGCTCTCCTGGTCCTGAAATAACTGTGGGTTTGTTTCCATACCAACCAGTGAAATAAATCCAATTTGTGCCCACTGTGAATGTTTTCTGCGCTCGGTTTTGTGACGTGGGAAGCGTGAAAATGCGAGCGCTAAATCAAAATACCCACGCCCAGTTTGTCCCGTCTCACCCAGCTGATTTGGGGTCCTGCTCCATGATGGGCCACAAATCTCCCAGAATAACATAACATAACCCCTTTCATTTTGGACAGTTTTAGGGTAGGTTTTGGAGAGTGAATAATGAGAAGTTGCTAAAATGTGCAGCAGAAAGCTCAGTGTTGTTTGCATTAATTTCCTGGCACCCCCTCCGTGGGCAACCATCTGATAGCACCTGATAAAGTGTCTCTTTGCTGTCATCACTGCCTTTAATTCCTGATTCCATATTTCACATCAGACTATCCATTCATGCACCCAGCAGGCTGAGCCAGCCCAGCAATCAGGAAGTTTGGAGGCAAAAACAATAATTGAGGGTGACCTGAAAAGGGGCAGAATTAAAGCTGGAGTGGCTTGCACTGATTTTTCTCTATGAAAGCATCTCCAGATATTTGTCTGTCCTTCCCTGTGGATGTTGGGATTTCCCTTGGATTGGCCATCATGGAAACCTTTTTTGCCCTTCAGAGAAAGTAGAGCACGATAATTTCAGTGTTGCTGAAAAGCTCTCTTTGCTTTTTTTTTGATGAAAACAGAAATATCTGACCTGACTTTCGTTGTTTGTTTGAACTGCTGGTAAATTTAGCTCGCTCTGAGTGTTTCTGTAAGAGGCATTTGTTTCCTGGAGCTGAACACTTTACTATAAACAAGAAAACACGTTCAGGGATATCAACAGCGAGGTTTCTTGTCCTTTCTCTGTGTTTAAACAAGCTCACAGAAGGTTGCCTGGAAGCACAAATGGCTTTGCTCTCTCTGCCTGCCTGTCGTAGGTGGAATTTTTCCCTGGTTTAAAGGTGGATATTGAACAATTGAATTGAAATCTATATCATGAACTCTTCACTTGGATTGTGAAAAATCTTGGCAGGACTTGGCATTGTTTCATTTCTTTTTTTACTGTTGGGCTTGATGATCCTGGAGGGGTTTTTTTCCCAAATTTAACAATCCTGATGTAGATTATCAAGGATATATTACAGGTTTATGGCTTTCCTGTTTATTTTTGTGGTTTATGGAAATAATCCAGTGATTTCCTTGGGCATAGAGGGGATAAAATTCCTGCTTTTTTGATTGCACTTATAAGAGGCCTGGGATGTGCCTGGATTTTAAGGGTGGAAGTGCCCTGGTGGTGCTGAAACTCCTCTTTCCCAAACTCCTGTTGGGATGTGGGTGCTCCTGCAGTCCCAGTGGCACCTTCCTGTGTGGGCATCACCCACCCCACGTTCCAGGGAAAGGAATTCCCGGTGCCCTGGTGAGAGCAAACCTGCCCAGCAGTTTTTGCAGGAGATTAGGGATTAACAGAGCACGTGGTTGGAAGGGACACTTCCAGGTTCCAATCTTTTCAGGGCTGTGGATTTCAGCTTTTAGTGGGCAAAAATAACCCAAAAATGGTTTGATAACGAGGTCTAAACGTGTTTCAAGCACAGAATACCCAAGTTGAAGTTTATTTAATAAAGGAAAAAGCTCACTCAGCTCTTGAGCCTCCAAATCTGACCTTTCTCAACAGTGACCTTGAGGACAAATTCTCCTTTCTTTTGCAGCTGCAGCCGCCTCCGAAACATTCAGAGTATCCTGACACAGAGCAGCAAATCCCAGCCTGATGGAATCCTCTGCATTTTAGGTTAGTTTGACATTTCCCCCCCCTTTTTGTTCTCGCTGCACTCAAAAAGACACCACAAATTCCAGAAAAATGAAGATCCTTTGCTTGCCCCAACCCCCAGCCTGGTTTCTCAGGGAAGGAACAGCTGATTGTTGCTCTCTTCTCTCCCTAAATTCTTCAGCCTGTTTACTGATCTAATAAGGCAAAGAACTTCAAATATTGCATGAGAAACCCAGGAGCAGTTAGGATTGAACTGCTGGCACAGAAACAGCTTCAGGGCTTTATTTATTCCTGCTGGGATTGGGAGAACAGGGCAGTAAGGAAATAAAGGAGCATTTGCAAGGGTGCTGTGGGAAAGCAACAGGGCTTTGTGCTGCTTTAATATAATTATTATAATGTAACATTGACTCTGGTTTCTTTTTATGCAATCAGTGCCAGGATGCTAAAGGAAGAATTCAGAAATGATAATTGAAATTCATTGGAGAAGAGGACTGAGGAGGGATTGTTTAAACAATGTATTACAGTTAAAGATGGAGAAATGTAGCCCTAAAGAAGCTCTGTGTGAGAAATGATAGAGCAGCAAGAAAATTTGAAGCTTCTTTACTGCCACACACACACAAAAGTTGTAGATGGGTGCAATAACCAGGTTGTCCCGTGGTCCATGCAAACTGTGCCACCTGACTGCTGCCATCCCACATTTTCCAGGGTCAGGGTCTAAACCTCTGGCTGAGCAGCAGCTGGCCAGTCAGAAGGTCTGTGAGGTCACTGTGTCAGCCTCCCAGTGGCATTTAATCAGGCAGGATCAACTCCTTGGGCTGTGCCTTTGCTGCTCACTGAGTGTCATAAACCAGGTTGGGCCCAAACTGGAGCCTTTCCCGAGTGGTGTTGGCTCTGGGCTGCAAATCCCAAGCAAGGAACACTCCAAACCTTCCACAGCCTCAGGGAAAAGTGTTGCAGGCAAAAGGAGCTGCTCTGTGTAATCCTCAGTGTCACATGGGGGATTTGTTCCACTCATAGTAATAACTAAGCCCTGGTGGGGTGGAAATTCAGGAATATTTGTGTGCTGTGGGGAGGTTTGTGCCTTGCCCTGATCCCTCAGCACCCACAATGGGGCTCTTGTGTGCTCTGCCCTGTGCTGGTGGGGCCTGCAGGATTTCTGGCACACCTTCCATGGCATGCTGTAAATGCATTAAACCTGTCATCAAATACAAGCTTCAGATGACAAAAAAAACCACCCAAACATGTAGTTTTACATCCTGAGTCCTGTTGGCTCGTGTGGAAAGCAGATACTCCTAACTGTGTTTTTTTTTTTTACAGTCAGGGCATGTTTTATTTCACTTGGCTGCCTTTAATGACCCGAGTTATGCACTCCCCTCACCCCAGCTTTGGTTTCACACCAGGCTGTGAAGTTAAAACCAATATAAACCTTCACAGCTTCGCTTCAAGTTCATTAATATTTGTATTGAAATTAAACCCAGCATTGTGAGATCCCAAAGAGAGGTGAGAACTGACCTGGTATTGATACAAGTCTTTAAATGTACTTACAGCTGGTCTTTTTTTTTTTATTTAAAAGAATGCCCTAATCTGATTTTGGAGTGGTTGCCTGGTAGCATTCCTGCATTCTTTGCTGGGGAGAAAAGACATCACAAGTGACAGGAAAAAGCAATTTGGAGGTTGGCATTTACTTTTCATCCTCCCCAGAGAGCATGAGGTGCTTTGCAGGCTGTGCCAGTAAATCTTTGGGTTTATTTTATCACGGTTCTGTTCAAGTATTACTACTTTTTTAGACAATTATTTTTTTTCTCCATTAGATCCATCCCACACAAAGCTCTTCTCGCTGAGGTTTCTCCCACCTCCCTGAGGCCATTTAGTTCACTGCCCCAATTGTTCATCCCACTGCTTTTCCAGATAGAGACTGTTCTGGGATTGTTGTGCATCTTCTGCTGAGAGTGTGTTGATGGTGACCTGTCCCTCCTCCAGCCTCCCCTTCCTGCTCCCTCCCTGCCCGCTGCATTTTGCATCGCTGCTGGTGCTTTGCTGTCTTGCCCCCTCTTCATCTCCCTGAGCAGGCCGATTTTTTTATCTCCCCGTGTTTAGGCAGACTCTTTGCTGCCAGTTTAACAGATCTGTTGTGCTCTGAGGGCAGGACAAGGAGCAGGAGCAGCAGGGCAGTGACGGAACTCCCAGCTCAGCTGGACACAGGCCTCGGGCTTTCCTAATGAATGGCCTTGCCATTGTCCTGGGAGCGCTCCTGATCTGCTCTCCGGGACATCTCATCCTTGGCATTGTTCCATTTCCTGTTTGTTTTCCGCTGCTGTGCCTGTTCTTTAACTCTTAACAGATGTTTCTGAGGGGTAACATTAAACCTGCCCCGGGTGCTTAAAGCCCCAACCAAACCCCAAACGTTCTGCAGGGTGAATGGTTCTGTGTGAAAGCAGTGCCTTCCCCCCGGGCCTGACAGGAGTTCATCTTATCAGCTGCCTCTCTTGTTCAACATCTTTTTTGTTTTCTCTCCCCCTCCTTCTGTCATTACCTGAGAAAGCAGGGCTTTGGTGTTGAGCTTGCAAGATCTTCTCTGTTGGGCTGGTGCACCCAGAGAAAACCTCAAACTCCTCAAGTGGTGGTGACATCATCACTATTGATTTTTTTTTTTTTAAATGAGGACAGTTCCTCATTTTTCTTCTGATCTTCCAGAAATTATAACAAAAAAAATTCATAGAACTGCCAGGGGCTCTCAGGTCTCCCTGGATCCTTCTCTTCTCCAGGGGAACCCCCCCAGCTCTCCCAGCCTGGCTGGGCCAGGTTGTTTTTCCTCTGGGGGCCTTCAGGAGGTGCCTCAGCTGGACAAATAATCAGTGCCACAGATAATCCCGAGGACATTGGGTGTGCTGCCTTTCCAAGGCTGCTTCCAAGGAGACTGATTGCATTGACATGGAGCTCCCTAAAACAATGGGACAGTTGTTTCCTGGATGCAGGGAGTCTCCACACTTATCTGGGACTCAGGTCCCACCTCCACAGCAGTATCGGTGTGCTGAGTCCCTTGATTCCCAGATGACATTGCTTTGCCTGCTTTCCTGGGGCTGAAAATGTGAATTAAAAACTCCCTGGCTCCCAAATCCAGGGAAATCTGGTTATGGAGAAAATTACTGGCACAGCAGGAGGGGGGAAAATGAGGGAGTGGGTCAGAGCATCCTTCAGCTGAGCATTATCCGTGCCATGAGCTGAGTTACAGGCTGATATCCCTGTCCCTTGGTATTCCCTGCATCAATTCCCTGAACACCTCCGAGCATGGGGAATCCAGAGCATCTCTGGGCAAGTCCAAGGAGTGCAGTGGCACAATTTGTGAGTTTGAAGGGGTTGGATTTGCCTGTTCCAGAACCTTACACCAAATCCCAGGGATTCTGGAGTATTCCAGGACTGTCCAAAGGCCGGTTAATGAACAAGCAGGGAAAATTGAGAGATGGGATTCAGTAACTGGATGTAGGCACAGCATCTTGGTAGCACTTTAAAGCTGAAACATAACATTAAAAAAAAGAAAAAAAAGGAGCATAATTAGGCAAACCTGAGGTTTGTCCCAATTTCTGGTAAGTTCAGCTGACTTTTGACTCTCCATTCAGGTCCTGAAACCCCGACCGTGTTGTTGCATTCTCAGTGTCCTGATCTTTCCTCTGGACAGTGGGAACAAATCCTGATTTGCTGGCAACCATTTCACTGTATCCTGATGTCACTTGGTAGGAAAAGCTGACTTTAGAGGAATTCTGTGGCAGTCAAGTGACCTCTGAAATGGGGATGTCCAGGCTGCTGTTCACCCATGGTTTTTACTTGTGGAGCAAACTGGATTATTACAGTAGAATTAGGAATTGTGGCTGTGACTGTCACGCAGGGAGATGGAAATACTTCATAAATCTGCATTTATGCCTTTCTTTGTGTTTATCTTTCATCTCTCCACGCTCCACATCTTCAGTTGTTTTCACTCCATTTTTCCCAAGGACCTGGCAGGGCTTTCCTGTGGAAGCTCTTCATGCTCCCTGTGTTCTGTCAGAACATCTTCCCATGATTTGCCAGGAGTCTGGGCTGGCTCTGGTGACTCAGGGATTGCACCATAACACTGATAAGATAATGTTTAATCATGTATTCCAAAGCAGGAGATTTGGGTCACGGGATTAGTTCGTTAGGAAGCTTCAATCAAGAACATATTAATTAGAATGCAGCCTGCATCCAGGCAGATGTTTGAATTAGTGGAGAAAATGGAACTTCTGATGCAGAGCACTGCAAAAAAATAGATTTATTTAATTTTTTAAGCAAATTCCATGTCAGAATGTGACAGTGAACTTACAAAAGCTGCTTTTGCCTGCCCTGTTCTCCCAGTGTGTCCCACAGGAATAAGTGCTCCCAGTGTGAGGGAGTTGAGTTAATTAACATTCCTGCTGTGGGGTTTTATTATTGGGGAAGAAAAACAACTTTCTGAGGTGCTCAGTGTTACTTCACACAACATCTGACCTGTGGTTTTGGTCTTTCAGGGATAGACAGTCGATACAATGAAGGCTGCAGGGAGCTGGCAAACTACCTGCTCTTTGGCTTGTACAACCAGCACAACAACGACTTTGAGAGGACAGGCTTTCCTGAGGAGGTGCTTGATGGTGAGGAACGTGCCCGACGTTTTTTCCCTGCTCTTCAGCGTTCCTGAAGGGAAAATGAGCAGAAGAAATGGCGTAGAAAACATAAAAATTCATTAAATCCCAGTGTGTGTTTGTACACCTGAAAATGGTTCTTAACAATGCTGATGATTAAGTCATTTTTAAACATTAAAAGATATATTTCGTGTGCTTTGTGCTCCACAAGCCCCCCAGATGTTGTGACCTTTGAAGAGAATCCCTTAGCTCAGTCCTGGGGTGTGTGTCCCTGTTATTAATTACTCTGATCACTCCTCTGCAGCTCTAAAATCCTGGAGCTCTGGTTTGCTCCCCCAGCTCCCCTTTGGGCCATTGGGAAGGTGGCCCAGTCCCCCTGCTGGTGGATTGTTATTCCCTTATTTACATGGCCCTTTGGCTGGGCAGCTCTCTGATGTAACACCAGGCAAGAGCAGCTGGAGTTCAGGGCTCTGGGAGGGCTCATCCCACAATTCCTGCCTGCTCCAAGCACAGGCTGATGCAAGTGCCGTGCAAGAGCTTGGAATGACCCTGCAGAGTTGTCTGGAACTGTTACAAGTGCCGTGGTGCTTGGAGCTGCCAAACTTTTCCAGTTTCAAAGCGCTTCCTGTGCACTCAGACAGCTCCACAGTTTTCTTTTAGTGAGGGACACGACAAAAAAGTGGTTTTTTCAGTTCTTTTGTTCTCTGTGTGCGTGTGTGGAGTCCTGGTGCTGCAATAACCTCCCTGCTGCTCGTTGCAGATATAATCCTGTTAATCAAACCTGACAGTGTTCACCTGTACTGCAACCCCGTGAATTATAACCAGCTCCTGCCCTACGTGGCTCACTGGAGGAACCTGCATTTTCACTGTCTCACTGAAAATGAGGTGAGTGAGAAATGAGAGTAGATAATGAGCTTGTTAATGAACTGGTGTTTAAAGTGGAACTTTTCTCCTTTTTCCTCCTCAGCAGGGCAGTGATCTGGGTGTCTGTGTGGGGATCCATCATTTGCAAGAAGAATATGTTGTCAATACTTTTTTGTGAAGACAAATTGCCCCCCTCTCCCGCTAATTACTATTGTTTTGACACGAGCTGATGATCTTTTAACAAGGAAAAACGTGTGGGTTGCGAGAAATGCAAAATCTGAATCGAGCACCACGGTCAGCACTGAGATTTCCAGCAACAGCCTTGTTTGCTGCCAAGGCAGTGTTTGAATTCACTGGTTGCCAGTAGTTTAGGAATATTAGAAAAGATCAGCTTAGAAAGCAAAATTGAAAGTCTGGAAATTTCATTATGTATTTTCGTTTTAACTCTCAGATCTTTCTTTCAAGAACAAGTAACTGCACCACAGGAGCGATGCAAGTTCCTTCTTGCATTGAAAAGTGAAGGTGTTGTAGAAAAGTGTGTTTATTGAAGTTAGAGGAGTTAAAAATGAAAATACTGCTTGCCTAGGTATAGAATAAGGACCTTTATATTCCAGTTGAGAGTGGAAATGCTTCTTCCTAAATGCTGTAGCTCCTTTTGTAAGTTAGGATGGCACTGAAACAAATCCCCAGGGCGTGGGTTTGGAGCTGCAGTGGCAGAGGGTGAAGCTGGGGGAAGGATGCACAGGGAGATCAAGGAGAGAAACCTTTTGTTCCCTTGATGGGGCTTTGGCAAATTCATGGTGTTTCCACGTGGCTGGTTGAGAGTTTGATCACAGAATTAGGAAATAACTCCTTTCTTGTTTTAAATCCTCCCTTTGTCCTGACCACTGTGGAGAGCTTGGCTTCACCATCTCAGTGGTATTTTGGTAGGACAGCTTTTGGGACAAAGGCTCCATCCTTGTGGTGTCCTTCCACTGACCTTCCTCCAGCCTTTAAGTACATCCTGTTTACAGGAGAATTGTGGTTTTTAACCCCCCCCCCTTTTTTTTTTTTTTTTGTTTCAATGATAGGAATAACTTTTTACTTGCCTTGTAAAAAATAGAACCAAAAAAAGCTCATAAGGTTTTAGAAATAAATGAAACTGTGCTTTACCTGGCTCTGGCTAAACCTGCAGCCTCTCCTTCCTTTCTTCCTACTTGCTTTTAACTAAACCACAGGAATTTCAGGGAATATCCTTAGAGGGGAAAAGAACCACCCTCATATTATTAAAAAAAGCCCATTTTCAAAATGGCCAAGTAGGACAAAGTGGTGACATCAAATGCAGGAAATTTTGGGGTGTCTTGGCCTTCCCTTTCACGGAACTGGCTGTGTTTATCCCTGCAAGAGCAGACTGGGAGCAAGCCTTTAGCACCCTGCCAAACTCCCAGGTTTTGATCCCAGGGGCATTTTTTAAGCCTTGAGAAAGTGGCAGTTGTTTGGGGCTTGGCTTTGGGCTGCACCTTTGATCTGATTTCCTGGGATTGAAGAGGGAACGTGGAGGAGCTGGGGCTGCATCTTGAATTCAGGCTGGGCTTAAAAGAGCTTGCTCCTAAAATAAACCTGTTGGGTGTAGCCTGGAGCTCACAGGAGCTGCACACAGCAAGTTCATAATCCTGTCCTTTGCCTTGATAAGAAGTTCAGAGCACTGTGGATAAAAATATAAATAAAATAAAACAGGCAAAGCATCACTGCCTTCTGATCTCGCTCCAGAAAACAAGGCGGTCTTGGAGGAGTTGGTTCTAGATTTGCTGCTGAACTGTTACCTTTTCAGATAAAAGTCAGCATGTTTCCAGGTTTTTTTCCTGTTCCAAGCATGATTTTAGTGTGATTTGTCTCCTCAGTGTAGTTTTTATGCTCTTCTGAGCCACCACATTTGTCCTTCAGTCTGTTGAGCTCTTTGGTGACCTCAGCCGTGAAGCAGCAAGACGGTGCAGCGTGGTGGTGTCTCCTTTCCTTCTCCTTTTCCTGCACTCCACCTCTCCCTCCCACAGCTATTCCTTATTCTGTGTGCTGATGATTTTTCCTCAGGGCTGTGTTTTCTGTGGCACAGCATTCTCAAAACACCTGTAATTTTTTAAATCCGGTAGATGATGTTGAAAGGTTTGCTGAGAGCTGAAAATAAAGTGTGTGATTGTACCTTCATATGCCATTATTAAAAACCTTGTTTTGAAGGGTTTTTTTAAAAAACAACTGTTTCCAAAAGGGTGATTTCCATTGGCATCAGTGCCGTTGGTGCCACGGTGGAATTTTTAACGCAGGGAATAAAAGGTTCTTTAGCTTTGTGAAGTTGTAGGTGATGTTTTAGTGGTTTACATGCTACGTGTTCACCTCCCTACCAAACAAATCAGGCCTTGCCCAATCCAACTTGCTTTTTGAAATGGCCTCTTTCAGTATGAAGATGAAGAAGCTGCAGAAGAATTCAAGATCTCCAGCTTCGTGGACATGGTCCGGGACTGCAGCCGGATCGGCATTCCCTACAGCTGCCAGGGTAGGTTGGACTGGCTCATCCTCACAGCAGAGGGGCTTTGCACATCCGACGTTCAGGGAATGAAGATTTCCCATCCCTTTGGGAAGAAATCAGCATTAGAAGTGTGTCAGTGCTTTCCCTGTAGCCTCTTTTTTCCGTGAGGAGGTGGATTTCTTTCTGCTGAATTCCATTTGTGAGGAGGGAACACTCCCAGTGTGAGGCAGAGGGATGATTTGCATTCACAGAAGTGTGTTGTGCTGCCACAGAAAGTCCTCTGTTCCCATGGGAGCTCCAGATAAATCCTCCTTTCTTTTAAGACAAGAATAAACATTTTGTTGTGCACGTTTCCCTTTTTTAGCGCTGAAGGAACTGCCCTGCCCGGCTTCCTGTTGGGCTCTGGAGCCAGCCTGGCAGCCTCAGCACTCCAATCTTGCACTCCTCTTTTTATTCCCAATTCCTGATTGCTTCCCTTGAGGAAGGGGTGATAAACTCTGACTGCCTGGAAGGTCATGAATGGGTCAGGGCAGGAGGGAAGGACAGGGGTTCTGTGTTAGGAAGGATCTGAAGAAGGTGTGGAGTTTGAGGGTGGCAGTCACACTTCAGGTGGTTCACAGCTGCTCCAAGGAGTGCAGGATGAATAGTTTTTCTCTCCCCTGACTCAAATTGTAATTAAACGGGGATGATGGAAGGAATTGTTGGCTGGGAGGGTGGGGAGGCCCTGGTACAGGTTGGGCAGAGAAGCTGTGGCTGCCCCTGAATCCCTGGAAGTGTTCAAAGCCAGGTTGGAGCAACCTGGGCTAGTGGAAGGTGTCCCTGGCCATGGCAGGGAGTGGAACTGGCTGATCTTTAATTTCCCTTCCAACCCAAACCATTCTGTGATTCTGTGACCGTGTTTTACTTAAACACAAACCCCACTTTTCACTTCAAAATATTTCCAGTTGTACAAAGACAGGATAATCAAGGTCCAGACCAAGTGTGAGCCCTCCCAGGAAGTTAAACTGCTGGGATTTGTGAGGGAATGTCCCTGTGCTCCCTGTCCCTTGCAGGTCACCTGCAGATATTTGACATGTTCATCGTGGAGAAGTGGCCGATCGTCCAGGCCTTCGCTCTGGAGGGGATCGGGGGCGACGGCTTCTTCACCATGAAGTACGAGGTGAGGCCTTCACGTTTTCATTCCCTTCCTGAGGCAGGAGTTAATCATGGAATTACTTCACTTGGAAAGCCCCCTTTGAGGTCATCAAGTCCTGACTCACCGCTCCGGGGAGGTTCTGAATGGAATGAAGTTGGTGGGGGTGTTGTGAGTTTGGAGTGTGCCAGGAAGGAAACGCTGCAGTCTTGGTGGGAGACTGTTCTGAGCTCCACAACACTCTGTCCTGGAGAAACCAGGATTGTTGGGTCACCTCTCCAACCCCTGCTGGGATTGAGAACTGTTTTCCTTTCCTTCTGGAGTCAACATTACCAAGAACCCTTTTGTTTTTAGCTCTGCTGGGTGGGTTACAGACCTTCCTAGGTGGGTTTTAGATCATCCTGGAGGGATTACAGGTCTTCCTGGAGGGGTTATAGTTCTTCCTAAATGGGTTATGGATCTTCCTGGATGGGTTATGGATCCTCCTGGATGGGTTGTGGATCCTCCTGGGTGGGTTTTGGATCTTTTTGGATGGGTTATGGATCTTCCTGGATGGGTTTTGGATCCTTTTGGATGGGTTATGGATCCTCCTAGATGGGTTACAGATCTTCCTAAATGGGTTCTAGATATTCCTAGACAGGTTCTCTATTATCCTAAACTGGATCCAGACATTCACAGGTTAGTTCTAGATCTTCCCAGGTGGGTTCAAGATCTTCAGAGCAGGAGGAGCTGATTGGTGGCCAACACCTTGAGATGAGCTGAGAAAAGATGAAGTGATTGTATTTCTTGGGTCCTTGGTTTTGACACACGAGATGCATCTGCTTCTCTCCCTGACATTTTCTATCCCTGGGTCAGCAGAGCAGTCAAAATTAGTTTGCTCCTGGATTTAATAATGAGCAACTCGTGCCATTTGATTTGCCCATTTATTAATTCTACTCTGACATCATCCTCAGAGAACAGCTTTGCATTTCTCTGCTTGTTTGAAATGCCTTTTATTTCATTCTCTTGAGCCTGTGCCCCAGCACTGCAGATGTCCTACTTTTCTTGTCACTCCTCCTTTTTCACAGCCAGAATAGGCTTTGTCTGCCTTGTGACAGCTGGAAAAGCCCCAAAGAATCATCAGCACATTGTTCAAGTCCCATCACACGTAGAACTGTACCCACTCTCTCAGGAATCTCAGAAATCTGCTCTGTGAGCCTGGGTCTTTCTGAGCACTTCTCTCTTCCCACTGATCCCTTTCCACAGGGTTTTTTTCCCTCTTTTTCCTTGCACCGAGGTGCTGGAACACCCTGTGTGAACCCCATTAAATGCAGAGTGCAAAGGGATGAGCACCCTTGTGGAGGAAGATCAACAACCCCTGTTGAAGCCTGACATCACTCGGTGACAATTTGTCCATTCAGGAGTTGTTTGGCTCTTTAATTGCCCTTTAATTACCCCAGTTCATTTCCCAAATCCTTGGAAGAAGGTGCAGACACGGGTGTGGCCCAGCCAGAACCTCTCCTGTTCCATTCAGGGAGTTGATACTTTTTTTTGGAGCACTCAAAAAGGAGCAGGGAAGATCCTTGGCCTCCTGTTTTATTTAAGAGCAACCCTGGAATCTCTGGCAGCTGAGCCAGTTGTTGTTTTCTTCCTCCTTAAAGGGGCTTTCAAGTGGGAAATGCCATTCTTGACTCTTCACCTCGGTGTTTGGGTGAGGTTCTCTGTCAGGCTCTGCTGGGGAAGGAAACCAGGGGCAGGAAAGACTGTAAATTATCTATAAATTAATACTCCTGCCATTACTAAAAGGGGGTATTTGGGTGCATTTTTGGCTCCTCAGGCTGCCTTACCCTCTGTTGTGTGTTCTGTTAGATTTGAGTATAATGTAAGGATGATAATTCAGGATTTTTTTCTACTATTTTAAGGACTTTTCCTCTCTTACTACGCAAGTCAGAGTTGCTGTAATTTGCTGATGTGTGAATGGAAACAGTGGGTTCAGAAGATCCCAGTTGGTGCTGCATTTTGCATTAAGTGGGTGGTGGGGAAACCTGGAAATGCAGGAATCATTCAGACACAAATGTCCCTTCAGGGAATATTGCTCTCCTATTCATCATCCTACTGCTTGGGACAAGGTGTTGCTGAATTAAACTGGCTTAGCCTAAATGAACATCAGTTCTTTCTGATGTGTTTTTTTTGCAATTAACTCAGTTTGAGCAACTTTATGAAATGATTTGTTTGGAAGATGCAAAGAAAAACCCTCCCTGGAGGAGATGAATCTCAGCAGGATCCACAACACTTTCAACTGGTAACCAGTGGTGGGAAAATATTTCTAAATTCAGAGTCCAGGAGGCTCTCAGGGCAGCTCAAACCTAAACTTGTGCCCTTCTTGGTGATGTTTTCCACAGAAATGCGTTTCAAGTCTTTCATTTTTTTTGAAATCTCTTGCAGTTGATGGATGTCAGCGTTGATTTGTGGAGGACCTACAGCAAAATGGATCCTGTTTCCTTGGAAGATTTGCTCTTTGAGGTGAAGGCAGTGAAATGTTCTGAATCAGCTCGCAGTTGGAGCAAAGTTGTGATTTTATTTGGTTTTAATAGTCTGTATGGACTTAATCTGCAGGTTCTACCTGCTCTTGGTTGCAGGGTCCTTTTCCTTCTCCTTCCCCCTTTCCCTCCTCCTTCCCCCTTTTCCTTCTCCTTCCCCCTTTTCCTCCTCCTTCCCCCTTTTCCTTCTCCTTCCCCCTTTTCCTCCTCCTTCCCCCTTTTCCTCCTCCTTCCCCCTTTTCCTTCTCCTTCCCCCTTTTCCTTCTCCTTCCCCCTTTTCCTCTCCTTCCCCCTTTTCCTCCTCCTTCCCCCTTTTCCTCCTCCTTCCCCCTTTTCCTCCTCCTTCCCCCTTTTCCTCCTCCTTCCCCCTTTCCTCCTCCTTCCCCCTTTTCCTTCTCCTTCCCCCTTTCCCTTCTCCTTCCCCCTTTTCCTCCTCCTTCCCCCTTTTCCTCCTTCCCCTTTTCCTCCTCCTTCCCCCTTTCCCTCCTCCTTCCCCTTTTCCTCCTCCTTCCCCTTTTCCTCCTCCTTCCCCTTTTCCTTCTCCTTCCCCTTTTCCTCCTCCTTCCCCCTTTTCCTCCTCCTTCCCCCTTTTCCTTCCTCCTTCCCCCTTTCCCTTCTTCCCCATTTCCCTCCTTCCCCCTTTCCCTCCTTTTCCAACTCCTTTTCCTCCCCCTCCCCTCAAATCCCCCACAAACTCCACAAAACACTAAAATAACTTTCCTTGGATTCCTTTAATTCCTTAATTTACCTGCAATTCTCAAAAAAACTCCCCTAACATGTGACTTCACGTCCAGAGTGCAGGAATTCGGGTTGTTTGTGTGTGTTAATCCTCCTTTTGCAGCAAGGAGTGGGAATTCAAATCCACTTTAACACACAGCCATTCTTCCAGGGGAAAAAAATTGATGATTCCAGGAGAAAAAAAAAAAAAGCCCTTTTCAGGCTGCTTTGTAACTCCTCGGAGTGGGTAACAGTGACACTCAGTGGCTGCCCTGGTGCTTTGGGAAATACAAACCCTGGGAAGTGATTCCATGCTCGGGGAAGGAGGAGAAAGCAGTGCATGAGCATTTATAATTTATTAATAGATATATTTAATGAGTATTAGGGTATATTGTTTTGGTGATAATTTTTTAGCGGGTTTTCAGCTTGGCAGCAGAGGAGGCTTTTAAAATGCAGCAAGTTCAGCAGTAATTATCCCTTATTAAGAAAATATTGATAGTTTACATCAGTTTGGTTGTTTAATCAACTGCTGTCATGAAAATTTAAATGGCAGAGGCTCTCAGCCTGAGTAATCACTTTTTGATATTTCACCTCCCCCTCCCTGTGTGGAAGAGAGAGAAATAATTGGGATTTTCCCTACCCCTCATAAGCCTATCCTGAAACAGGCTTATTTATCCTATTTCGAAGTTTTAAACCCAAAAGTTGTTGTTAAAAGGCCTTCAGATCTTCTGCAAACATCAATTAATGAAGGGTTTGTACAACTTGAATTTCCTGGAAGTTGGTGATTTTAGAGATGATTGCTTTTCTCAGTGAGGAGAAAAGTAATCCAAAAAAAACCCAAACCCAAACAAACACACACAAAAAAAGAACAGCAAAGTCCTTACCTTTTAAAATATATTTATTTTCTTGTATTTATTGTTTCACTGGGCAACCTTTGACCTCCTTCCTCTGGAAAAACACTGAATATTATTCCTATTTATATATTTAATATATAAATGTTTTTCTTCCAGGATTTAACCATTTTTGAGCGCCAGTGGACCAACTTCTTTGCTAATTTTGACACAGAAATTCCCTTCATCCTGGAGCTCTCGGAATCTCAGGCAGGGGAGGTAAGTGTGCTTCAGTAATCCTTGGAATTCCTGGGGAAGGAATAAGGATTCAGCATCACCACAGGAGTAAAAACCTGTGGTTTGGGGTTGTGTTTTTTTTCAGTCACCACCTCCCCTGAAAAATCCCTGGTATGGTGGGTTAGGATTGCTGGGGCTAATTCAGTGCAGTGTTTGCTCGCTGATAATTCAGTTGAAATTTTTTTTTAATAATAATAATAATTTTGAAATTTAATATTGATTTTTAAACAAAAATAATAATTTTGGTGGTTTGTTTTTTGTGTTTTTTTTTTTTAATTCTCCACAGCCCTTCAGGAGTTATTTCAGCCACGGCATGATCTCCAGCCACATAACAGATAACAGGTATTACTCATTATTCCCTGTTAATTAGTACTTCAAGAGGTTATTCCCATATCCCTGGTGCCAGAATGTGTCAGTTCTAATTCCTTTTGGGACCCCCTCAGTGTATCACATCTCACTTGAAATAAAACCAACATGCAAAGGCACTTCCTGGGAGGGTAAAGCTGAAAACCCTGCCCTCTCCAGCTGAGTTTGTGTCCAAAGCCAGAACTAAACCCAACAGAAGTTTTGTTTCATTCCAACACAGCCATCCCAGAGTTTTCCAAAGATGCTTAATTTAAGCCTAATCAGCTTCTCAGGGCAATTTACTTTGAAAAAGAGGGGAAAAAAACCCCCACCCCTTCTAATATAATTTGGGAACAGCCTTGAGATTTGTTCTTGTGCTTGAAAGAAATGATCATCTCTTCACTGCGAGCAGCTTTTTATTCTGGAACTTGGTCTTTACAACGGGAAGCTTTGTGAGCTCTGGTAAAATTGAGTCCCCTCAGACTTGAAAGCTTTAATTTCCCTTGTTTTTAATCTCTCTGCCAAGTGTTTTGGTGGTGATCCCCTGTTTCCTCCCCCAGCCCCAGCCGGCAGCCCTTTGTCCTGTTTGGCAGCCACTCCACCAAGGAAAACTTGAACTCTGGGAACTTCAATTTTCCATCAGAAGGACACCTCGTTCGAAACACTGGCCTGGGTGGGAGCACTGCCAAGCACATGGTAAGGCTTTGGAGGAGTTACCTGAGATTTTTGGAGCCTTTTTTTTGGCAGATTTTCTCTTTTTCTTCCTGTATTTTTTGTGCTTGCCTCAGTTAAACACCTAGTTCTTAGCATAAAAACATGTTAGTTTTAACAATTAGTTCAAGGAGGAAATTTTCTTTTTCCTTCTTCTTCCAAGTTAAAAGATGCTTAATCAGGGGCTGATGAATGATTTATTTCCTGTAAAAACACAACTTTTTTAAACACTTGTGTGTGGGGTGGGGAAGAGGGAAACGCTGTCTGTGAGGACATTTGGCCAAGTCCTGAAGCGAAACCCTTCTACAACTTGTTTAATCCTGACACACAGATTTGATGTTAATCAGATTTCTTAAGAAAGAAGGGAAAAGACACCTTTTTTTCTTTTGATAACAGAATTTTGTGAATAGACAGGAGATTTTTACACGTCTCCAAATTCCAACCTGCGCTCGGCGAGCGCTGATGAAGCCGAAACTCTCTGGGGTGTTCCAAGAACGCTGTCCCAGTGCTCTGTGGGGTTCCAAAAATGCTGTCCCAAAGCTCTGTGGGGTTTCCAAGGGTGTTGCCATGAAGTTGTAAAGATTAACTTGTTTCCATTTCCAAGTAAAAACGTAGTTGTTAAACATTTGCTGAGGTCGGAGGCGGCGCAGGGGCCCTGACTGGGGGAGCGACCCCCGGCATTTGGGATCCTCTGGCTGGAGGGGCCTGGTGGCTCCAGAAGGACACCCAAGGCAGCCAAGGAGGAGAGGTAGAGTGTGGGCACCTCCCTGCTCCCTCCTGGGGCTGTGGGAGTGTCCCCCAGTGCTGTGAGTCCAGGTGGATGTGCTTGAGTCCAGCTCATGGTGGAGAGGACGGATGAGTGAGGGGATGAGTCCGTGACGACATTCCATGTGCACTTGGCTCAGGGATGGATGGACGGATGTGGGTGTTCTGCACGCATCAAAAGCCTGAGGAAGGATTGGTTTTTCTTGTGGCATCCTGCTGAAATCTCATCCTCCATCTGCTGCTCTCACACTCTCTCTCTGAAAACGCTTTCAACTTTGTCTTTTCTCCCCCCTGATAACATTGAGACCATTTCAAGTTGCCTTTCCAAGTGCAAGTGCAGTTTTCTTCTGATGTGCTTGCTCCATCTGTTCTCCTCAGATTCTGATGCTGTTCCTAAACAGGTGGTTTATTTACAGGTACAGGTGATACTGTTGTGATAGGGTGTCATGAAAATAGTAAATAAGACCAGCCTAGTTATGGGAACCTGACCCACTTTCCTCTCCATGGAAAGAGCAGTTGGCATAGGAAATTGAAAACCCAAGTCAGAGCTCATCTCCTTCCCAAAGTCTTTCAGCCATTCAGGTCGAGTCAAAAGTGAAAGTAGACCTTTGAAAAACGTAAGTTTGCTTTTTTCCAACTCCAGTTCCGTGTGTGTCGTAAACTTCCTGTAGTTTGTCGGTGCTTAGAGGACTTAAAGGGGAGTTTTAGTTTGTTGTCCATCCTTGCACCAGCTGGCTTTGCTGATGTGTCTTTGTGTCTCATTAATGCTGACTACCAGGTAGTGCAGTGTGTGTCTCCCAAGGGACCTCTGGCTTGTTCAAGGACCTATTTTTTTGGGACCAGTCACATTCCTTTCCTGGGTGAGTATGTGACAAAAATGCCAAGGCATTTACTCTCTTGAATTATTTTAAAATTTGCAGCAATTAAAAAAAAAAAAAAAAGCTGGCTTTGATTCCCCTCTGAGCCCCAGGAGTGGGAGGTAGACAAATATTTCAGTCAGTGTTCCTTACAGTTTGCTAGGAGAAAACTCTCCAAAAATAGAGTAATTCAAACTCTTTATTATCTCGAGATAACAGGATTTATAAAAGGACAGGAAATTCCTTCACTCTGTGTTTAGGTTTTTAGACTTTATTTATTTATTTATTTATTTATTTATAAATTAATTTCCTTTATCCTCTGCTTTGGGCCCAACACAGCGGGTAATAAAAAATAAACCAAATAAAAACAAGCCACGTGGAATTTTTAAAACCTGTTTTCTTCCCTCTTGTAAATGGCCTGCAAGAATCCTTGGATAAAGCCAGTCCTTAGGGTCGCTGTGTATCTGGAAACCAAAGCAGCTGGAGAGAAGATGCTTGGAGCATTGGAATTAAGGGGGGATTTGCTCTGGTTGTGATTTTTCCTGGGCATGCAGGAATGGCCACGTTGGGATCCAGGATCCAGGGGGAGAGGGCTCCTTGTTCTGATGATTTTAGGGGACTGGGGACTCAATCTTAGCTGCCCTGCACCAAGCTCTGCCTTCAACCTGCAATCCAACTGCACTGACATAAAATCCTGGACAATCCCACCTGGCCTGGGCAGCAGAAACGTCCCCAAAGTGCTTAAACCAGCCCTTGTTTTTTTGTTTTGTTTTGTTTTCATACAGGAAATGACAACGAGGTGCACAAGGAAGCTGACCAAGTGTAAGCTTTTTGTATTATATTATTCCTTAACTCTTCTCTTTTTTTTGCCTCGTGGCAGTTGATCAAACCTGCTTTTAGTGGCTGTTGGCATTTGCAGTGAGATGTTTTTATCCAGAATAAAGTGAATAAAGAGAGGGTTTCAAAGGCAAAGTGCTCGTGGAGGGTTTCAATGAGCAAATCAGGAATTTGCTGGGACCATCCCTTCTGCTGGGCAGCAGAGTAGGAAAGGAAATACTACTAAATTTTGCTAAATTTGAATTAAAAAATAGTTTTAAGTTGCTTGACCAATTTTTAAAGGTACTACTTACACACCAAGGGGGAAAGTATCTCAAACAGAACAGGAACATCATCCACACACAGAAGGAAAAGTGATTTTCAGACCAGTCTAATTCACTGTAAGATTTGCAGTGAAATACCAACAGGGAACACTCCAACTTGCAGAGGAATCCACTCTGGAAAGGCAGATAAAAGCTGATTTTTTTCAGCTGGGAAGCTGCAGAGCATTTTAACCCTCTCCAGATCCCAGCGTGTTTCTCCCTGTCCGTGTCCTGCGTGTTTGTAGATCCTGTCCAGCTTTAGGAACTTAGAGAACTGCTCTGGTCCTGCTCTTTCTCTTGACAAACCACCCCTTTCCTTCGAGATTTTTGTCCTCCTTGCTAGTTGGGATCACTTCAGGAGCCTGGATTTGCTTCTGCAAACCCGCCTGACCTGTTGGCAGAGAAATTAAAGATGTGTCAGTACTTTTAAAACTGAACTGCTGTTGATTTTTATGAATTTAATGCTGTTCTCAGAGACATAAAAGTGGAATTACTGCCCTGAGCAGCACATTTGTCCTTTTTTATGGGAAACTGAACTCCCAACAGGTCATTTTTTGGCTCAAATATTTTCTTGTCCTATCTCTGAAAGACTTTAAATGCATTTCTAACCGAGATGAGGAGAGAAGCTCTAAACAAAGCAGTTGATAAAGGCAGTGTTTTTGTAAGAATTTATAAGAATATCTGTTTTTCTTGGAAGCATCCCTGTGTTGGATCAAATAATCAACAACAGCAGCATAATTAGCTTTTTTCTTTTTGGCAAACCTGATCTCATGGGTTTGGGCTTTTTGTGCAGTTGAGTCCTGTAACTGGTTCTTAAATTTGTCAATATTTTCATAAGCACTGCTCAGTCCAAATTTGGGTGTATTTAGGAAGCAGGACTGCAGATGGGCTGGAGTGCATGAACTGACTGCAACTCTGAGGGTAAACTGGGTAAACTTCATATTTTTCTAATTTTTTAAAGAAAATGCCATTTTATGGTTTGCATTGTTAGCGTTAAATTTTTAAAATGGGAAGAAGAGTAATTATACACTAATATTAACTGTTAATGCCTGATGGAAAGCACAGCCCACTGAGGTGTTTTCTTGCAAATATTTATGTGAATTGGAGAGAAAATGGGAATGGTTACAGAATTAGAAAGAATTAGACATGTTTCCTGTAGCAGATGCACTCAAAATACCCTGCCTGCATATTTAATATATGAAATTAGATGGAAGAAACCTGAAAAAGAAGTAAGTTTGAACTTTCAAATCACTTGGTGCTGTTGGGGACGATCAGAGTCAGGCTTTGGTGCATTTTGAGGTCTATTTGAGGCTGTTTTTCCATCCTTCAGGAATGCTTTGCCTGTGGCTCAAATCCTGGATCCTCCTCTTTCCTGCCCCCTCTCCCCTCCCCTGACACCAAGCAGTGGCAGAGGAGTAATGAGAGGAGTTAAAATTTGGGCAAGCAGGACTTTTTTGGTCGATTTACACATCTTTTGAGTCCCAATTTAGCAGGAATTTTGAACCAATGTTTCTTGGTTGGCACAGGTGGGTTTTTTTCCCAGTTGTTTTGGAGCTATAAATGTGTAAAGGCTGAAAGTCACTCTTGGCTCCACCAACTCTGGTTATTTCTGGGCAATTTTTTTCAATTCCTCTTTCAGAAGGGAACAGGACTAAGCTGTGGTGTGGATGTCATGGAATCCTGGAATGGTTTGGGTTGGAAAGGACCTTAAAGGTGATCGAGTTCCAACCCCCTGCCATGGGCAGGGACACCTCCCACCAGCCCAGGGTGCTCCAACCTGGCCTTGGACACTTCCAGGGATCCAGGGGCAGCCACAGCTTCTCTGCCCAACCTGTGCCAGGGCCTCCCCACCCTCACAGCCAGCAATTCCTTCCCAATATCCCATCTGTCCCTGCCCTCTGGCAGTGGGAAGCCATTCCCTGTGTGCTGTCCCTCCATCCCTTGTCCCCAGTCCCTCTCCAGCTCTCCTGGAGCCCCTTTAGGCCCTGCCAGGGGCTCTCAGGTCTCCCTGGAGCCTTCTCTTCTCCAGGGGAACCCCCCCAGCTCTCCCAGCCTGGCTGGGCCAGGTTAGTGCTCCTTTCATGGCCTTCAGGAGTTGCTTCACTTGGACAAACAATCAGTGACCCAAATTACCTGGAGGGCTCTGTGTGTGCTGCCTTTCCGAGGCTGCTTCCAAGGAGACTGATTGCATTGACATGGAGCTCCCTAAAACACTGGGATGTGATTCCTAGCCCCACTACAGTGGAAGTCAACAGGGAAAAGATGTTTTTCTTCTTGCCTGAGCAGGGCTGCATTTGTGTCAGGCGATACCTCCCCAAAAGACTCCGTAATTCAAATTTCATTTTCTCCAACCAAAAGCTTAATTATAAACCTGCTTCTGCACTCATTTGAGCCAGGACCCCTTTTTTTTATTAAGAGAGGGAGAACTGCTCCTTTAGGGAGAGGAGGAAGAAAAACTCTCCGTGTGTAGTAAATGTTGTGTTTGGTTCTCTCTTCAGTGCTCTGTTGTCGCAAATCTATTCTGCTGTTGTAGAGGCTGTGCTTGCTGGCATTGAGTGCTATGCTAAAACTTCCACTGAATCCAAGGTAAATGAAGCCCCCCTTGTCTCTCTCCGCTGTTCATTTGGATTGCTCACGGTGTGCCATGACGTGCAAGCCCAAATTAACCAAACAATTCCACCCGAATTCATGTCATGGTTCGTCCTCGTAATGCAAAGTTCGGCCCTGTGGCCTCCGAATTCTGAAGTCTGAATTCTGCTTAAAAAAAAAAACCCCCACATTTCACAGTGTTCCTGTTATCCATCTACAGTGTTTTTCCATCTGTCATGGATTTTCCTGACCCTCTCACAGTGAGGAAAATAAAAGCTGTGAAAGAGCAAATTTTAGCCTGGTGCATCAGTGTGTTCCTGTTCAGTGTCTCGTTTACCTCTGGGGTGCTCCTGGGATTTGGGAAAGGATGGGGGGGGAAAGGTGTTTCATCCTCCATTCCCTTTGTTTTCAGGCAAAGGAGGTGGCAGAGCAGGTGCTCCTGGCTGTGTTGGACACCCTTGGCTTGACCCAGCTCAGATCTGCTTTACGGTGGGTGTTTCGTGCAGGTATCGATGGATCTCGGGTCTCAGTGGGGCAAAATATCAAATATATCAAAATATCACATGCATTGGGGAAAAATCTATCGAATATTGATTTAAAACTGGCTGCCAAACACTTCATGGTACACTCAGACTTTTAAAATAATGATAATTATCCCATTTTCCTGCTTTTTTTTTTTAACACTTCAGTTATTTTGCTTCAAACCCACTCCTGTCAGTTTTTCACGTGTAGAAGAATTACAAACCACGTGTTTCACCAGTGCAAATTTCTCTTCCTGCAGCTCCAGAATTGCTTTCCAGATTCAGGCTGTGAACAATCATGGAAGGTTTGTACCACTGCCTTACACTTCTTGTTATTAATTAGTGCTTTTAATGCCATGATAAACTTATTTCTCTTCTCTCAGAACTGAGAGAACGTTGCATTTGATTATGTCACACAGAGATGTGCAAAGTGCTTTTGTGGATGAGACAGCTGAATGATTTCCTCTCTGTAACTCTGTGGAATCCTAAAAAACATTAAAAAAAATAAAAAGCAATTGGGCAGAGCAGTTTTATTAACCTGTTAATGAGTAGAAGCAGCGTGAGCTCTTCAAGAGTTTCCTCTTAAAATTTGCTTTTGACTTAGTTGATATCGCAGGCTTGTGCTTCTCAACCCCCAATTCAATTTCTGATTGAAATGATCTCCACAAAGAAGAGTTTATTTTAAAATAAAATAGCTTTTTTTTGGGGGGGGGGCTGCTTTGGAGTGCCTGAAAATGATCTAACTTCTAAATATTTAATTGTTGTCATTCTAGAATTACCCCGTTAGATAACGAGGACAGCCTGAGTTTGATCAAAACGGTGAGTAAGCCCTTCATTATTTATTATTATTATTATTGGGTTTTATTTTATTTTTATGATTTTATTGGAAAATGGAGCTCAAGTGGCAGTTTTTCTGGGGCCTGCTGAGATCTTTATCTCTGTGAACATCACTCTAAGAGGAGACAAAGAGAGGTCTCAGGTGCTGCAACAGCTTTAATATTGAGTCAGACCGTGGAAATTGGAATAAAACATTAACGTGAATTAAGGTTTATGACCTCAGACTTCCCACCACGATGTAGAAGTGGTTGTTTAGGGTGTTTTCAACACAGAGATTTTGCTGTTTCACTTCAAATAGTTCAAGTTCTGCTTTCCCTTCCCTTCCCTCCGACTCTGGGATCGCTGCAGGCGTCCATGATGGTGTTTGACATTCCGGACCTGCTCACGGGAAGAGGATGTTTGGGATCTGTTGTGTTTTCAGAGTCCTTCCTGACATCTCAGATACAAGTCAAAGAAAAAGGTGACTATTTGGAATTCTGATTGTCATTCTGTCTGGCTTTGCTGTGCTGGAAGAGCACGAGGGACTCCTGTGGATGTTGTTGGTGGTGTTGCCACGGTGGGTTTGGAGCACTTTTGGTGGGAAGGAGAGCAAAGGAAGAAGCCATTTAAACACCAGAGTAAATCAGGCTTTCTCTGGAATTGCCCAGCAGCTCTGTGTGTGCCAGAGCACCAGAAAACTGGGAGCTGGGCTGTTGTGGCATCACTTAAACACTCGTAAATCCTTAAAGTAATGAGAACATTTTCATCTCTCCTAAAGTAATTTCAGCTCTTAAAAGCAGCTTATTGGGCACTCTGAAGTACTTGGGTGGAATTATGGTCTGGTGGGCTTGGTGGTGTCAGGTCTGAGGTTGGATTTGATGACCTTGGAGGTCTTTTCCGTGACTGTCCTGCTTTGCTTCCCGTGGTTTCCCTGCAGATGGCAGCATCAATCCAGAAAGCAGCCACGTTATCCTGACGGCTGGAATCCCGAGATTCACGGCCTGGCTGGTGAGTCCACACCCCCTCACCTGGCTTTATTCACCAGGGAACACTGCTTAGGGGAGGGTGGATAATACAAAACTTGGGCACTGAAGCAGGATGTTAATACATGAATCTCTTCTGGTTTTTGAATTTGGACATGGAGGGAAACACTCATGGGTGGAACCAGGTTATGGATCCGATCTTGACCCAAGGTTGAAATTATTTTTAGCTGGTACAAGCACACAGGGTAACTTCTGGAAAATTCTGATTATTGTGAGGCACTTCAGGTCACCCCAACAGGAAGCAAGGTCTGATTATTCCAGCCCTCTAATGTGCTCCCCTGTGTTGGAGGTAGAATTCCAATGAATTTAATAAAACTGGACAACATTCTGCCTTTGGCATCCCATAATTTACCAGTAGTATAAAATAAGCCTGGATGGGATCCACTGTTTTCTGTCTGGACAATACTATTTTAGTCTATAAAAGCAGTTAATGGGGAGAGTGTGATGCATTTAATTTAATGCAAGGACCTATTTTGGTCCCATAATTAACACAATATTAGGAGCACAAAAACTGCCTTTGCAGCACTCTGGTAACCTGAGGTTCTTGTTTGCCTCAAAACATCCTTAATGCTTTTTAGACTGGCTTCATTTAACTGGTTTTATTTGACATTAGCCTTGCTTTATTTGTGATATAAATCACACTGCAAATGGAAACTCTTTTCTGGCTCCAGGTTGAAGACAGTGACGTGAAACTCTCTGAAAAGGCACAGCAGGCGCTGAAGGTAAAATTAAACATTTTCTGTTCAACCAAACAAGTTACACTTTGTGTTATTACTCTCCCCAAGACTTGCCTGTTCTTTGAAACTTTGACCTATAAAAAGTGCATTGTGTGTAGAAGTTTGAGGCTTCCTTTCTTTCAAAGAATGGCAAACCTCAAGAGCAAAAAGAGCTCTAAGAAAGCCACAAATTCATGGAAGTCTCACTCAGCATTTACTCCTGGAGCTCACGTGTTTCCAAACACCCCCCCAGCTCGGTGCCACTCGACATAAAACTTTGTTTTAACTTAATTAGCTTGCTAAATGTCTAAAGGAAAACACCCCAGAAAGAAAAAGGCTTTTAGAGTCTGGGAACGTCTCAAATCACACGAGTTTCACATCTGTGGTTGAATTCGTGGCTCCCGGGAATGTTCATTAGGAGTGGATTTGTTTTCCTGTGCTGGACTTTCAGCTCAGTGGATTGACAGACTGCAAACAAAAAGCTCTGCCCTGTGGTTGTGACAATGACTTGGAGCTGCTGGCAAAGCTAAAATTGGGGGGGGTGGGGGGGAAGGATTTTCCAAACCATCCTGCCCTGCTGTATCCAGGATAAATCCCCAATTTTATAAAGCTCTTAGGGCTGCTGAAGATAGAAAATTAGAGAAACATTAGAGAAAATAAAATCTTCTCTCCTGGAGCAAAAAACATGAGGAAATGTCCTTAGTCCTTGATGCAGCCTGTGATTGTTCCTGTTTGCTTGTTCCTGTTTAGGAAGAGAAATCTTTCCTGGGCACTTTACTCGCCGGAGGGGATGGAGTGTACCTTTGTTCCAGCAATCCCCAGGCCATGCCTGCAGAAGGTGAGATGTGCTTGGGATTTTTTTCCCCTTGTTTCTTCTTGGTTTGGTGGTTTTTGTTTTGTTTCTTAACCATAAGAGAGAGAGATATTTTCTGGGGTTCATACTTCTGGTGAGCCAAACTGCACCATCATCCTGAGCTTTCTTTCCATTGCCTTTACATCTCTCTAAATTAAATTCCTTCTAAATTAAATTCCATCTGTTTATCCCCAACCTCTCCTTGAAACTCCTAATCCTGGAAGGAGGATTCCTCTAGGCTTGCTTTGGAGGCTCTTCCCTGATGGAGATGCCTTTTTCCCCCCATAGTTAATGTTCAAAACATGCCCAAAGTGTCTGTTAATAGATGATGTCCCAGATGTTTCCCTGCCTTTTCTGGATCTCTATGAACACGAGGTTGGAAAGATTGGGCATTGCAGCCCTTCCAGCTCTGGAAGTGAAGGCAAATATGGACCTTTCCACTGCCTGTGATGTAGGAGGGGATGTTCCCAACTCATTTACAGCCTTGCATTTGCTCCTGCCAAAAGCTCTTCCCACAGCTGATGGTGCTTTTCCCACTTCTTCCCTTTGTATTTCTGCTCAGGAATTTGGTGTTTCCCAGCCCAGGCTCTCACTGTGCTACAGGAAAGATCCTTGATCCTGGTTCTTTTCAGGTTTAATCCAGTTACTGCTTCCTGACACAAAATTACCCACAGGGATCTTGGATTATTCCTCCTCTTTGGGCACCTTTTCCTTTGAGAACTTGAGGGCACGTGAATATCCCAGTAATTCACCTAAAGACAATTTGGATTGTTGGGAGGGTTTTCCGTCCCATCCCTCACCAGTGCCTTGAACCAACAGATATTTTTAAGGCCTGATATTTGATATCCTGCTGTGCAGAGGGTGTGCAGTTGTGTCAGTGCTGGTGCACAGCAGACAATGAATATCTGACATGAGTTTCTCAGGGTGAGCTGATGATCTCCAGAGCAGAATCTGCAGCTTTGTGGCTCTGCCAGGTGGTGTCCAGGATAAATAAGGAGGTACAAGGCACTTAAAAAGCAGCTGTCAGAGAGAGGAACCTGCTTTTGCTCTGACTGACTGGATTTTGAAGCAACCATCTTAATTCAGAACGTGATATTCAGCTGTTTTGCTGTGGGCACGTGGTGTTCACTCAGGAAATAACCAGAGAATGGTGGATTCTTTTAGGCTCTGTTAAAACCTGTGGAGCAATTTACTTATTCCTTTTTTTTTTTTTTTTTTTGGGGTAGGTGGGATTTAGGGAGTTAAATGTCTTGATAACTTCGGGGTTGGAGGGTTGCAATGGGGTGGTGTCAGGACCGTTATGTGAGCGAGGGATTTTCTTGGCTCTCAAGTGAAAGTGGAGTTGAGCTCGTTCTCTTTCTGTTGTGCTCAAACTTGGGCTCTGCTGAGGTTGCAGCTCTGTGGTGCAAAAGGTGCATAAAATCATGGAATGGTTTGGGTTGGAAAGGACCTTCAAGCCCATCTCATTCCAACCCCCTGCCATGGGCAGGGACACCTTCCACCAGCCCAGGTTGCTCCAGCCTGGCCTGGGACACTCCCAGGGATCCAGGGGCAGCCACAGCTTCTCTGCCCAACCTGTGCCAGGGCCTGCCCCCCTCCCAGCCAGCAATTCCATCCCAAAATCCCATCTATCCCTACCTTCCTTCAGCTGAAGGCCATTTCCATTAAAACAAAACCTTAATACTGAACAGCTGTGAAGATCTCATTCCAAGCAGCCATTCCAAGAGGAAAACACCTTGGAGTCTTTATTGTTTCTTCCCAGCCTCATTCTGGGAGCTGTGCAGGCCCTTCCAGCCATATATTTTAGTTCCTTTGATTTTTTTTTGAAATGTAACCGAGTAAAACTTGGGGTTTTTTTCTTTTTTCCTTTTTACCTTTAAAGAAAATATTCCACTTTTCCCTTTTGCTGACTCACAAACTTCCCTGTGTGTGGGATGTGATGCTGCTTTGAAATGCAGAGGTCCAGCTGGCAGTCCCTGCTCACACATTTGGTCGTGGCTTTCTGCAGCCTGTCAGGAATCAGCTGTTTGCTGATCCCACTTTTCTAACCCTTGGATGGAATTCTCTTTTATCCATTACCCCACCCAGCCTTGCTGCTTCTCATTTCCAGCTGCTCTCCTTGGTGCAGGTTTGTTCAGAACCATGATTTAAATGGTGAAGGGGAATATTTAAATATTATTTAAATTTTAAAATTAACTCTTCAGTTTAATTTAAATCCCACGTTAATTTTTCATTTAGGACTTAATTTTTAAGTTATTTTTTTCCCTTTGAATCAAACTTAAACAGTGTTTGGTTTTGCCACCTAAACTGTTGGTTCAGTGTTTAAATTCTGAGTTATTTGAGATGTAAGCTTTTCTTAAATTCTTGTATTGTATTATTATATTTCTGGAATTTTGAAATTCAACAGGATGGAAGTTTTATTTTAGCTTTTAAAGAAAAAAAAATCACCTCAGAATATTTCTGATAAAGAGGCTCCAGGGGGTAAAACGAAGCCAAATGCAATCATAGTGATTCATAAACCCCCAAATCCTGCAGGAACATGGATTTTTTTTTCCCCTCAGAAAGGAACGACCTCCATCACAAGGTGCTGAAATGTTGATATATAATTAACACAAGTCTTTTCCTTTTACCTGTAGGTAAACTGCACTTCTTTTCTGATGGCATCCTCTTTTCCCATCCCCACCACGGCAGCATTTCCATTTCCAAGAACCACATGAGTTCCATCTCCCTCTATGATGGGGTGAGTGGTTGGTCTGGTTTTACTGCCATGAACTTTTTATCTCTTTTTATCAACAATTCTGTAGAGCCCTGGTACAAAATCTCTTATTATTTCTTATTTCAGCTTTACATGTGTGTGCAACTGTACTAACTGATGCAAATCTCCACACTTGTGGTGCTGATTAACTTAAATTCGTGGTTAGTGGGTAAAGAGGAGGGGATTTGGGGTTAATCTGGGGGAGCAGTTTGGTGTTAACAGTGGGAAAATTGCTTTTGATGAAAGGAAAAGCTGCAGAGCGTGACATTTCTGACACATCCACCAGTGGGAGGGGATGGACAGAGGAAAGGTCAAGGTGTTCTGCTGTCAGACTGGTGTTTGGGAGGGTGAAAAGCTGCCTTCAATTCACATTATCTTTGAGTATCACTTGCTCTGGCTCAGTGGGAGCCGAGAGGTTCTCGGTGGCAGCTCAGCTGATTTTCCCTGCTCGAGGCAGACACTCTGGGTTTAACCATCCCTTCTTCAGAGTGCAAAAGAGGTTCTTTGGGTTGGAAAAAAAAAAACCAATTTCCTTTAGTTTCTCTTTTGTTCAGCTCCCTCCAGGTGTGATTTCATCCTGTAACCCAGGCAGGCAGCAAAACACCCGCACAGTGTGTGACTGAAGCGAGATGGAAACGCTGCAGTCTCACCTCAGCTGCCTTTCCCTGGGCATCACAGGCTGCCCCTTGCAGTTTAAGGAGCTGTTTTAACCCTGACCTTCCTTCTATTGTTTGAGTCAAGCCACTCAATTTTCATCACACTTTTGCTATTTCTGGGATCTGGCCCTGGCTGCTGAACTGGGGCCAGGTTGCTGTGGGAGAAGCATTGACACAGGGAATATTCTTGTCCCACTGACTTGGCAGAAGGCAGGGCTGGAGGGTTTAAATGCTCAGCAGTGACAGGAGAAGCAGGGTAATTGTTACAGCAGCAGCATCAATGGCAAAAGAAAGGAGGATTTAATGCTGGGGTTCAATTAAAAGATCCAAAGACTTGAAGTGATGCAACTTGAAAATACCTGCACTTTTGCTCCAGCATGGAGGAACTGGGCACAGAGCTGCTCCTGAGCTCCTGAAATCCTTCAGGAATCCTCATGGGCATGGACACAGAGTAGATTTTGGCCATTCATCAACAAATATCACCAAGTATTATTTAGATTTCACAACATCAGCGTCTTGGTAAAACTTGGCACCGGATCCTTTTAATGTCACGTCCCTGGGGGTTATTGCTGCTGCTTTTCAGCTTTTTTCCATTTTGTGGAACCCCAGATGTTTTCCAGGAGGAGGAGCACATTTGTTGGACACTTCCCAGATGTATGAGTTGGCCTTTCAGCCACTTCCCAGGAAATCTCTGGGCCATCCTGCAGAATCCGGGATCCGTGGGTTCTTAGTCCCCAGAGCCGTTTTCTCTTAAGAGAATTTGTTCCCTCATAGGAGAATATTTTTTTAAATGTTCCTCAGTCACCTCAATGACTTTGAGAGGATTATTTTTATAATGAATCCCTCAGTCAGCAAAGGATAAAGATTCTGTTTGCAAATGTCTTATGTAACAGTTCCTCAGCCTGAGCTTTTGCTCCTCCAGAAGAATTCCTACATGGAGTTCCTTGCCCAGTTCTCCTCTGGAAGGGGAGGTGGATGCCACTCACTTTCTGCTTTGAACCCTAAGGCATGGAATCCCTCTTTCCCAGGGATGTTTCATGCTGGCAGATTGTCCTGATTTTCTAAATGCTTCGGTGTGAAAAGAGTTGGAAGTCAAAGCTTGGGCCTGTCTTGAAATCCATGATCACAGGATCGTGGGAATGGTTTGGGTGGGAAGAGACCTTAAAACTCATCCAGTTCCAACCCCTTGCCATGGACAGGGACACTTTCCACTAGCACAGGTTGCTCCAAGCCTTGTCCAACCTGGCCTTGGACACTTCCAGGGATCCAGATGGATCTAATCTGGGAGAAACAAAACAAACTAAAAAAACAACCCCCCAAAAACCCAAGGGTCAGCGTTTTATAGAACAAAAATCGTTCAACCCCAGTTCGGTGCTGCTGAGGGAGACACAACCTGGGGCTTCAGGGTCCTGTTGGTGAAGACAGTTCTGATTAAAAAGCAAGAAATCTGGTAGAACTTGTGCTCAGTAAAGAATCTGAGAGAAAAGGGGCACTTCCAGCAGGCACATGAGCTGCACTTTGAGTTACAGGCCTGAGAGTTGTGTCTCGTTCCAGAACGGCTCCTGTCAGGCCAGAAACAAGAGCGTGGTACAAAAAAAAGTTTGCAGTAGCACCAAACTTCCAGTCTTTTTAGTTATTTTTTTAAGCATTTAAGTCGTTTTAGGTGGCATTTCATTCACTGTCCCTGTGTCAGAGGTGTGGGTGTGGATGAAGAAGAGTTTGTTCAGAAGCATTAACAGTGGAAAGGCCTATTTTGGGGGGGGGGAAAGAGTAGCTATTAAAATGCAGGGTTTTCTTTTCAAGACAAGACAAAACAAAACTTAGAGGTTTAGAACCATCTCAAATCCTTGATTTTAAGCTTCTGATATCTCCAGTAGCTGCAGAGTGGGAATTCAGGGGAGCTGCAAGTGTCTTCAGCTGACCCTTGTGCCCCATCCCTGGGCCATGGAAAATGGGGAATGCCCAGCTCTTTATGCCTGGGGGTGACTGTGACAGGGTTTTTTTTTTCCTCATCTCTTCCATTTAATGCCTTTTTTCACTTTCAAGAACTGTTAGGGATAACCTGTCCTGTTTTTCCCATTTCCAGGATTCGAACAGTGTCGTTGCCGCTCTCTTCGTAGACTTCAAAAGCTCCCTGCTCCCTCACCTCCCCGTGGAATTCCATACCCACAACAACTTCTTGATGATTGCACTTTTCCCCAAAAGAAAGATTTATAAAGCTTTTTACTCACAGGTAAAGGCAAGAAAAGGTTGGTTTGGGTGTGTGGGTGGAGGAAACCCACATCATTTAGGATGAGACACGAGGGTGAGTTTGGTGCCTGTTTTAACTAGAGTCTGGAGAGAAGGGGTTTATCCCTCACATAAACTGAGCCACTGAAGCTTGATACCTGATGAGTAAATACAGGAAGAGTTAAAATTCAAGGCTTTTCTATCATCAGTCTTCACAAACAAAACCTTTCCATCACAGAATCAGCATAAAATCTACTGCTTTGACATCTCCAGAGTCTCTCCTCCAGCAGGGAACTCCGAAACTCTGCTTACCAAGGAGTGGCTTATCAAGCTCCCAGCCCTTCCCAGGGGCTGTCACTGCTCCTGCTCCCAGGAACCTGCCCGTGGGAGAAGCTGCAGTTTGTGTGTGAATTTTTGGGCTTGGTGACGTGGGTGCTCCCCAGAGCTCCTTCCCTGGGGGCTGCGTTTCCGTGGGTGTAAATTGGCTGCAGCGACTCCGGCGGTGGCAGAGGTTCCATTGTGTGGGTTTCTCTGCGGTCAGACCCGTTGGGAGATTCCTGGTTCTTGGGGAAGTCTCCCATATGGCATTGTGTTATTCCCCTAAATGGGTTGGCCCCCCTTCATGGGGCTGCAGAGGATTTTAATCAGCAGGGTTGGGAACAATGGTGCTTTTGAGGAAAGGAGCCTGCAGATTTTTTAGGGCTTCACAATGGGGTTTTTTAGGATGGGATCGTCACACTGCACTGGGAAAGACCACCTAGCTCAGTGAGTAATCCCCACTGGAAGTATTAATGGCACCATAAAGTTGTCCCCTCCTTTTATCTGAAGTGTTTAAATTCCTCCCACTGTTCCCCTCTGTGAATGGTTGGGAATCTGTTTGTTTGGTTTGGGATTTTCAGCCTATTTTACGAGTTCTACTTTTATATCTGTTTTATTTTCCTCTCCTCTCCCAGCAGACACCCTTGAGATATCCAGAAATTTCAGACCTATTCTTTCTGCCTTATTTGGCCCAATAAAATAAAACCAGATCCTTTTTGAGCTATATAAAAAGTTCTCTTCTGAATGTTGCAGAGGGGGTTTGTTTCATACACAGAGGCATTAATAATTCTGTGCTCTGAAAATGTCCTGAGGCCCCCCCTTGGTTTGCCTTCACTTTTCATTTCTGCCTTGGATTCAGAGATTCACAGACCTTCAGGTCCTTCCTCTCTTACCCATTGATCTTGGAAACATTTCTTACTTTTGTACTTACTTTTCCTTCCATTTCCTCCCAGAATGTTTCTTGCATTCTTAGATTTGCTCTTTTCTATGAGGCATCTCCCAGCTCAGTTCCCCAAAATGCTGTCAGTTCTCCTCAGCCTCCCAAATTCACTGCAAAGGATGTCCCAGGGCATTCCCTAAACAGCTCTGCTGCTGGACTTCCCCAGCCTCTGCTGGTTTTTCTTGGAGTTATTTATCCCTGTCCTCCTTTAAATTCACTTTTTGCTGCACAGATCCACCCTGGGCTTCAATTTCTGCAGTTCAAGTTTCTCCTCTGGGACAAATCTCACAGATTACAAAAATTCACTGAGATGGAGGTGTTGGTTTTACTCTTCCAAGTTATTATCCCTCACTGACTGGACCTGAGCTTGGATTATTCCAGGCCCCCTGGAAATAGGGAGTGGCACTTCCCTGTTCCTGCAGACCTGGCTTTATTAAAAACTGAGATGGTGGCAGCATTTTTGAGCACACACAGAGCTGAAATCTGGTTTGCAGATCCAGTGAAAATGGAACAAAACCTTTCCCATCCTCCCTCTGATGGGTGAGGGAGGAAGATTTGTCCAGGCTTTGGGATGTGTTGCTTTCTCCCTTGTTTTTCTCCACCTCCTCCAAAGCCACAGCAGCTCTGTTTTTTTTTAAACTTCCATCAAGTTCCACCAAAAGGTTTATTTGCATCCAGTTCTTTGCCTGACCTCTGGTTTCACTTCACCCCCAGCCCTTTTCCTCCTACAGAAAACCATTTTCTCTTCTTTCCATCCCTTCCAGGCATTTCTTTTAGCCTCTCCTACCTCTTTTGAAGTGGCTGTTTGGGTTTATTTTTTTCAGTTGCACAGGCAATATTGCCTTTGTTAAGATCAGAAACATCTTTTTATTTCTGATGGGGTTTTTTATCTCCCAGCCTGGTGTTTGGGATGCTGATTTGTTAATGGAAAGCAGTTGTCTCCCCTCCTGAGTTGTTTTGTCTTGCACAAAGTCATTGTGAGGAACGACAATGGTTGTTGCCTTTCCTTAGGAAAAGAAGGGAAATACCCAAACACTGACTGGGTGATTCATCTGAATCTGATTTCTAGGTTCACACAGCCAGGCAGATTAATGTGCCTTGGCTGGAGCAGCGTGGCTGGGAGCCAAAACATCATCCCCTGGAGGAAATGAAGGGCTCCCTTTGCTTCTGGGAAGTTTCTCTTAAATTTCTAGAAGGGCTTGCTGCAGTCTCACCTCGTGAAAATGATAATGGTACTTAAAAGAGACTTGAATTAATTCAGTTCCTGCTGTGCAGCACTTGGGTTGTAAACACCTCCATTTTTATCAGGGAAAACTAAAGCATTTCAGTAAATTACTTCTTAGAGCAGCTCCAGTCCAGCCAAAGAGAAGGTCACAAAATCCCATCTGTGGAGACTTTGGAATTCATGGAATGGTTTGGGTTGGGAGGGATCTTGAAGATCATCCCATTCCACCCCCTGCCATGGGCAGGGACACCTTCCACCAGCCCAGAGTGCTCCAACCTGGCCTTGGACACTTCCAGGGATCCAGGGGCAGCCACAGCTTCTGTGGGCAGTTCTTGCAGCAAGCCCAGTATTGTGCAGTATTTCATGGCCAGTGAAAATGGGGCCAGAAGCAACCCCTGAACAAATGGAAAGCACATTTTGGGAAAATGATGTGCACGATGCTCATGCACAGCTCTGCTTTCTTCCAGGTTTTCTCCTCGTGGCAAAACCAGACGAGCTCAGGATTATCTTTAAGGGTTGTCCAGGAAGAATTCCTGTCTGTGGAACAAAAGAGAATGTAAGTTCATGGCAGTGCAGTGCAATTCCACATGAACCCTGTGCTGCAGTCAGGAAAATGCTGTTACTCATGGATTTTGATAACAATTAAAAGAGAATTGTTGCCTTCTTAGTGCAACACTCCCTTTATTTATTTTCTTTTTGGTACCACTTAATAAGTAGCCATGTGGTTTAAAGGACTTAAATTTTTGGGTCTCTCCTTCAACCAATTCATTAATTTGCTTCTTTCAGGCATTCCAGTGTTCAGAAGCTCTTTAATGCCTTGTCCTTTCCTTCTGGGGAAAGATGCAGGGAGCTGAAATTATCTGCTGCCCTTCCAGAACTGGAGAGGTGAGAAACCATTTTTGTGCTCAAGGGACGAGTTCTGTCAGAAATGACACCAAATTGTTTTGCAGTCACCTAAAAACTGCTTATTAAATAATTCTGACGAGTTATTTCCCCTCTAGTTTGACCTTTGGATAATCTTATTTTAACGATTTCCCAGCTGTTTCTGTGAATGAAACCTTTTAGCTCGTGGTTGTGAGGAAATAACCCTTTAATTCTGGCCAGGTTTGTGAGGCATTTCACCATCAGCAGCGTCAGCAGCAAGCCAGTGATGAGGGCACATCTGCCTGTGTTGTTGCACCAGTCAGAAGCCATCCCTGAGAGCAAAGCAGAGAGTGAGAAGGTGAGGACAGTAATAGTAATTCCATAAGAACTCCACAACCATTCCCAGTGTGGAATATTGAACAAATATTCTCATTAGTCCTGTGGTGGTGTCATAAAAGCACTGCTGGGTGTCCAGCCTTGCTCTGCCTCCTCCTCCTCCTCCAGCACCACCAGCTCCCACTGAACTGGTTTCTTAGAATAAGAATCATTTTCCTGGATACACAGCTAATTTTTTTTCCCCCACTTAAACAGTCTTTGGAAGTGCAGGCTGGTGAAATAAAGGCAGAAAATGAGGTGTAAATCTTCCAAGTTCTCCCTCCTGTCCAGAGAGACTTTGACTCTAAAGCAGCAGCTTGTTTTTATGAATTGCTGAATAATTTCACTGAATTGTTCTCTGGAACAGAAAAGTCCTTTAAATAGCATGGAGGGAGCACATGATATTTAACATTTGCTGATATTATCTGGAGAACACTCCTTTCTCTATAGGGGCAATTAACAATTGGCCAACTTAAGGCCTGCTTTAAATAGCACTTGCAGAGAAAATATTTCCTGGTAACTTCCCAGCATTTGAAACCTGCTGAGAGCAACAAAGTCAAAGCAGCAGGAATGCTATTCTCCTGGAATATTGCAGCCTGGTGGCACTTATTTCCTGGGATCTGCTTCAGAGGCTGTGGAATTGTCCCCTCCTTCCCTGTTTTCCAGGTGATCATCACCATCATCACTGGACTCCCAGGATGTCGTTCCAGTGATCTCTGTGCTTTCCTTGTCACCTTTACCAAGGAGTATGGAAGGTTTGTACAGTCCTGGTTATATCAATCACCAAAAAAAACCAACTTGACATGATTAAATTATCAAGGTTCAATAGTTATTTTTCAACCTCATTTCTAATTTGTAAAAGAGAAGTGTTATAAGAATAAATCCAATTAAATATTTTTGAGGTCCCGTAGGGTCTGTTACTTCAGGTTTATGACTTCAGGTATCTCATTTAACTGCGTTTCCAGGTAGATTTGCCCTTAAATTTTCGATATTTAGCCAGAAAAAATAGCCCAGGAGATTTCTTTGTTGTCATTCCACGTTAAGAAAAGCACAGGAATCACTGCAGATCTCACGTGGACCTGGAAATGCCACTGAGGTTACAACAGTCAGGAATCATCTTAGGAGGGCCAAATGAATCCTGCCTTAAGCAAGGCTAGAAGGTGTCACAACTTGAAGGAAATAAGTGAAGAGCTCCCTTTTTTTTGAGGAAAAGACTCTCCTGACAATCCCTGCTTTTAACCTGACCTGATTCCTGTTCTGCAGGAGCAGGAGGTGCATTCAGGACGTTGTGTGGCACTAAGATAAATCTGCAGGAGGAGTTTTTTTTTCATTCTGTGTGTTGATGATAGAGCTTCTGGAAAAGCAAAAGCAGCAATTGTTATCCTCTTCAGTCCTGCAGCCAAAGCCACCTCAGTGTTTAATCTTAGTCGTGGTCTTCCTCACTTTTAACTCCGTGTCTCGATATCATCAAGTTTGTTCAGAAGAGTTTTGTGGTTCTGTTCTAGGGCAGACAGGGAAGGTGACTTTTTGAAGGTTGTGTGATGATGCATTTCATCATGTTCCCTGCAAAATGTCAGTGCTGTTTTCCCTTTTTGCAGTGAAATATTTATATTTTCACTCCCAGAGTCTTTGGAATTGGATCTGTATCGTTTTTGTTTACTGCCTCGCTGGCAGTGAGCAGAGTTAACTGATGGGATGTACAGCTTGGAAACAAAGCTGTTCAACATTGTTTTATTAAAAAGCCAGCCAACCAGAATTAAAAAAACACAAACCTTTTGGCACTAATGTAAAGAATGTGCCTGTGCTGGAAAGGACAGAAAGCCAAATAAATCCCCCTTTGCCACGTGGTCAGGTGGAATGAGCTGATGATGGGATGGTGAGAGATGTGGAATCCTGGGGATGTCAGATTTATTTTAGCTCTGCTGGTTCAAAATCAAAAGAGGACAGAAATGTTATGTCACAGAGCCTGAACCCCTTTCCTTGTTTCCTCTTGTTCAGGTGGATTGTTTATAGGCAAACCATGGACAGTCCTGAGTGTTTCAGTGCCAGCCATTTCCAGAGGTTCCTGTCCGGGGTCCTGGAGGCTCAGCAGAACCTGGAGGGCCATCAGTCTGTGTTCTCCAAAAACAACAAGAGGCTCCTGGTGGTCCTGCAGGGGTAAGTGTTTGAAACCCTGGGAATTTTTCTATTCCCTTCCTGTTTTCCAAGCATTTTTAAACTTTCCCTTTAAAATTCCAAGCTGCAGGGTGGCAACTCTGGGAGTGCTGGTTGATGTGTAAACTCAGCTTTTCTGCACCTCTTGATTTTATGGCTTGGTGCTCCTTTGGAAGGAGTATCCATAGGATTCCTTCAGTCATATGGAAGCCATGGGAACTCAGCCCAGAATCCATCTGTGCTCTGGGCTGATCCCTGGGAACAACAGCACAAGGACGTGGAGCTGCTGCAGAGAGTCCAGAGGAGGCCCCGGAGATGCTGCCAGGGCTGGAGCCCCTCTGCTCTGGAGCCAGGCTGGGAGAGCTGGGGGGGTTCCCCTGGAGAAGAGAAGGCTCCAGGGAGACCTGAGAGCCCCTGGCAGGGCCTAAAGGGGCTCCAGGAGAGCTGGAGAGGGACTGGGGACAAGGCCTGGAGGGACAGCACACAGGGAATGGTTTCCTACCAGAGAGCAGGAGAGATGGGCTACTGGGAAGGAATTGCTGGACTGGAGGGTGGGGAGGCCCTGGCATAGGTTGGGCAGAGAAGCTGTGGCTGCCCCTGGATCCCTGGAAGTGTCCAAGGCCAGGTTGGAGCACCCTGGGCTAGTGGAAGGTGTCCCTGCCTGTGGCAGGGAGATGGAATGAGATGAACTTTAAAGGCCCTTTCCCATCCAAAGCATTCCATGATTCCATGGCTGTGACCTCTGGAGCTGCCAGCACAGAGCAGGGCTGGCAGAACTCTCTGCCTAATGAAACAGGTGCTGTTGGAGCAACACTTACTGACATGTTTTGGGTAAATGCCAGTTTTCTTGTGGAATAAAGCTGAAGACTCTGACATTTCCATCTCCAGGGTAGCATTTGAGAACCAGGGTCACCTGCACTAAGCTTTTCCTCTCTGAGTCATTACAAGGTGACCCAAACTGAACCAACAGGAGGGATGCACCACCCTGACCTGACTGGAATGGTTTTGCTTCCCAGGATTCAGAGTGTTCATCTGTTCCACTACAGGGAGCTCAGCATTTCCTTCGTTATAAACCATTCTGATAGTGCTAAAAATCATCATTTTTTTCCATGTTAGAGCCAGATTTACTTTCTTTTCCCCCTCAAAGTTAGCAGGAGTGGTGTGAAGTCCAGCAATGTGCCAAATAACTGATATTCTGTAAGTATAATAACTGATAAACTGTAGCAGCAGTGGCTTCAGGAACAGCTCATTGGAGGTGTTCTATCCTTCCTGGATAGCTGGATATTGGCACAGACAGCTGGAATTCTCTAAACAATCCATTAACTTGATAACTGCCAGCACAGTTTTGAGAGGAGGTCGTGGCTGGCTGAGGAATAAACACCTGGAATTAAAACTCAGGTTCACTGAAACTTTGTGCTCACACAGAAATAGGACCCAGCAGTGTCTGGAGTAGTGAATAAGAAATAAACTCTTTGATTATATTAATATTAATAAACACATGAATTACAGAAGCATATTTTAAATTGAGATGCTGATAAGTGAGAGGGTGTTGCTTTTTTATTTAATTTTTTTAATTTGAATTGTGTTTAACATGCTTGGCATTAAGTATAACTTATTTTTGTTACGTTATGCTTTTTGTGCTTTCCTGAAAGCTGGACTTTCCAGTTCCAGGTTTATCTTGCTTTTCTCTCTGTACTGTCAATAATTAATTTTAATGTAACTCTCCATCAGCTTGATCTGTCTGGATTGCCTTAATTTGCCTTTGCCAAGTTTTGAGCTGCTTTCCCACTATTCAGTGGGCTTTTTTTGGGGAATCCAACCTTCTTGGCTTTATTCCTGAATGGTGGAACGTGCCCTTTCCTTTTGTTTCCTTGCAGGTACTCCGATGTTATTGATGTTGTGCAAGCTCTGCAGACTCACCCTGACCCCGATGTGAAATCTTCCTTCCTCATTGGAGCAGTGAACACCTGTGTGGAGCCCCTGAGCTGCTACATGGAGCACAGGTGTGTTTTAAAGTAGTTTTACTGGGTTCAAAATAGATATATTATAAGTTTATGAGGGCATTTTTATAATAATCAGTGATGTATGATAGTTTAAATGCCAGTGAAGTGTCTTAAATCTCATCAAACTCGGAAGTGCTCTTTGATTTATCAGGATGGCACTTGGTGTATAATTATATATTGTATGAATGAAAGTTTAGCTTCTGAAAGAACAAACTAAATCTGCTTAAACAGATTTATCCTTCTAAATCATTTGATTTCTTAAGACCTTTTTTGGAAGTTGGACTGAAAATCATCGAGACGTTCGTCTCGGTTCGGGTTTTTGGTTCTGCCACCGCTTTGGGGCGTTAAAGAAAGACTTTGCAGCTTGTAAATGTGGAACTTGAGGGAAACAATCCCCAACTGAGTGGAAGGGAATGACAAAGCACGGAAGCCAAAGCGTTGCAAGTGTTAAAACCTGTCCTGGGTTACTGCAGAGCCAGGGTGGGGAGGAAACGCCGGCCAAGCCAAGTCGGTGACATTTTCAAACGGTGTGCTCTGGTTGCTGTTTCATAGCAGTGTGTGTGTGTGTGTGTGTGTGTGTGTGTGCTCCAGAAACTTCAGCAAACACGGGGATGATTCCTTAGATTTCTCTGTGAGATTGTAACACTGCAATTTTCCAATTATGCCTTGCAGCTGAGTTGATCAAAGTAAGTGGAAGCAGTTCGAGTTTTCGGAGTTGTTAGCGTGGCTTCTGTTTGTGATCCAGCTCTGTGCACCACAGCTTAGAGCTGAACTGCCCAGGCAGTTTCCAAAAGTGCATTCCTGAGGTTTCCTGGCTCTTCTTAACCACTAACCAGTGCGCTGCTTGTGCTTTGCAGTAGTCAGTAAAATAGACCTTATCTTGCTGCTGCTTCATGTCTCCGTGCCAAAGGTTGGCAATAAATAACAAAACCCACGTTATAAACTCTGGGTGGTTTGATGCTGGAGTGCTGGTTAAACTCGTGCTTTCCATAATTAGAGGCAAGACAAGTTCCATTTCTCTTTGGGTTTGGCTCACTAACGTGTCACTAGCCCTGGTCCTGAGTAGCATTTAGAGCAGCACAGCCTGCGGTGCTTTGACCAGCAGAGTTTGTCCCTCAGGTGCAGGAAGAGGCTCAGCCTGTGCTGTGGGTTCTTTGTGTCTTGCTTTGAAGTTGGTTCTGATCCGAATTTACCAAGCAGTGCCAATGGCAGCTCTTGCAGTTGGGCAGCTTTGGTGATTTCACCGTGAGAATGGACAAGAGTGGGTTCGGTGTTCGGCTTGAAAACTTTTGCAGTTGAGAAAATCAAAGCCCTTTCCTGCCTCAGAGCTCATTCCTGTGGAGATCCAGCTCTTCCATGAGCCTGGGATGGAGCTTTGCCCTTAGAAGTTTTCCCTAAAATTATCTCTGAATAGCAGACCAGGGCAGGGGGGAGAGGAAGTTGAAAGGGGGACAGGTAAAAATATTCTCCCTCGAGCTTTGTGTGCATGATAAAGCTTTTAAATTAGAAAAATAATTATAAAAATAATTGTCACTTGTCTGACAGCACACCAGAAATTGACATCATTATTACAGTCTTCCCATGGAGAGTTCCCACCATGCTTGGGAGGCAAAATTCTTTAGGATGAGCTTAAAATTCCCGTTGTTTAAATTGGAATTACGGTGACCTCAAAGCCCTTCTTGACTCTCTGGAACACATAATGGGTTGTGTGGTGGCAATCAGCTCTTAAATCCACTGGAGAATTAAAACCAGCCACCAGAATAGTTCTTGGGGAGGAAATCCTGAGAGACACAACCTGTGGGGATGTTCCAGCTGTGTGGAGTGAGGGAAGGAAGCGTGGAGATGGTTTGGTCAGCGAGGCTGTAGCTGTCAGTGTCCCAACAAATGTGCATGTTTTACTTAAATAACAATATCCATCCTTGATTTACAAACTTTTTGGTTTTTCTAGGCTTCTTTTTCCCAAGTTCTTGGACCAGTGTTCCCAAGGTAGGTGTTGCTTTTCTTGACTTTGAGCACCTCCAGGACGAGCAGCTGAGCCACGTGGCCCAATGAATGCATTTATATTGTATATTTATGCTATAAATTCATGTAGCCAAAGGATAAACTCTTGGAGGAGAGACAATCTCTGCCTAAACTATCAAACATCACAGGCACTCTGCTCCCTCTCACCATAGAACACATATTTTCAGGATGAAAATATGAAAATATCACTGCTGGACTGGTGAGATAGATCAAGCCAATAACAAAAGTAATACAGAAGCAAAATGACATTATTTATTAAAAGCAATTTAAAGAAACACTCACAGGTAACTCAAATATTTGCAGAGGTTTCCATATTTTGCTGTATTTTCTTTAAGTTTAGATGTGGTTGTCCATATATATGTGTATATATATGTAAATATATATACACATATATATTTAAATGTATATATACATATATGTGTAAATAAATACATGTATATACACACACACATCCATATATGTATATTTATCTATATGTATTTTTAAGCCACTGTTGCATTGCAGCTGGAAAGTACGTAGGTGCTGTCATGTAGGTCATTATTTTATTTTCATTTGGAGGAAAATGTTGGTGGGGGAACATTGGGGGAAAATTGGGGGAAAACTGTCCTGGTTATAACCATGGGTGAATTTGCAGAGGGAAGGAGAATATTAAGAACATAAAGAATTATTTTCCTAAAGCATATGCATTTTTAATCCATCCCTCCTGTTGCCTTTCCTGCCCCTGTTGAACGTGCTGTTCCCCAGGCTGCAAGGAATTTTTTCTTTAAATCAGTATATAAAGAATTAAACAAAACTGGGTGGTCTCCAAAATGCATCTCTTAGGAACAGGGATGGCAAGTGACAGTGTAAATAGAAATGGGTTGGGTTGGGAGGGACCTCAAAGCCCATCTCATTCCACCCCCTGCCACGGGCAGGGACACCTTTCACTAGCACAGGTTGCTCCAAGCTCTGTCCAACCTGGCCTTGGACACTTCCAGGATGGGATTATGAGCTGATCCATCCTTGAGCTTATTGATATTTCAGCCTATTCATACTTTCCATCTTAATTACATGATTAATATCCCCAAACTCGGTATCATTTCCAGCCTGCACAGAACTTAAATTCTGAATCATCCTTGCTGTTCTTCCCCCTTCCAAAGCAGCTGGATATTGGGAGAGGACATGGATGTTCCTGAAATTGCAGTGGAGACTTCTGTGGGAGTTTAAAAAAAAAAGGAGAAATACAGTGATGGGGATTTGCTTGGGCTGTTACGAAAATCTGAGTTTGAAAGGGTCAGGGATGGAAGGAGCAGTGATGGGGAGCATCTGGTGCAGTGCAGGTGCCCCAGAATTACTTGGTGGAGGAATTTCTGTGTGAAGAAGCCTCTGCAGGACTTCTGGGAAGACCAGGAATAGCTGCAGGCAGCAGATGGTGGTGTGAACTTCATGACATCTTTAAGGGGTGATGAGTTGGGGACAGGAGAAATAAATCCTGGATGGGTTGTCCCTGGATGCTGGAGAGTTTCTGTTCTGCTTGATGGGAAGGTGTCTGAACTGAGCTGCCCACCTTGAGCAAAGGAATAACAGTCATCCTAAAATCAGGGAACTATTTAGGTTGGAAAAGCCCTCCAAGATCATCGAGTCCAACCATCAGGCACCACCACCGTGGTCACCACTGACCCACGGCCTTCAGTGCCACATCCACACAGATTTTTTAACACTTCCAGGGATGAGGACTCCACTGCTGCCCTCAGCAGCCACTTCCAGTGCTTGCCAAGCCTTTCCACGAAGAAATGTTTCCCGAGATCTGATCTAAACCTCCCCTGGCACAACTTGAGGCCCTTTCCTTTACGTTTCCTCTCCGTTCCTTCCACGTTGAGACCATCCTGACATCCTGGGCAGTCCCAGAGTGTTGGCACTGCAGTTTCTCTGAGGGAGCTGGGCTGGAACTCAAATCCTGTATAATTGGGAAGGAGGGATCCTGTAACACTGAAATTAATTGGAATTTTTTTGCTCTGTTACCTTTTTGATGCCTCGTGGCTTCACCTTTGTTGTCTGAACACCATTTGGGGGTGGGTCTTTCTTTCAAGGCAAGAAATAACCCCACACCCTTCTCTTGTTTGTAAAAGTGGCATCTGTCAGAGTCCAAAATACTGATTTTTTAGCTGTTCAGCCTCTTTACTACGTGTTGAATTCACCAAGAGGCTTTACATGTTCGTGGTTTTTATTACTAGTCCTGCTCAAATTGATTCCTGTATGAATTTATTCTTTTAATTAATTGAGTCTTTTGATTGAGTCTGAATTGCCTCTGTCAGATGAAAGGTACTTTGGGGTTTTTTTTGCTGTTGCTGCTCTGTTTTTGCTCTTTCATGACTGAAGGCAGCGAGAGGGAAGGGAAATAAGAGAAGAATGGCTGATGTATCACTTTAATCACTTCTGTACCGCTGCTTACACGTGAATTGTGCTCTGATGTCCTTCCCCAGGCCTGGTGAGCAATGTGGTTTTCACGAGCCACGCCACAGAGCAGAGACATCCCCTCCTGGTGCAGCTGCAGAGCCTGATCCGAGCAGCAAATCCCAAGGTTTCCTTCATCCTGGCAGAGAACGGGATCGTAACGAGGTAACAACGAGCCCTGCCCAAAATTTATCTGAAAAAACTCGTGTTCTCTTCTTGTACTCTGGTGATTTATAGGAAGGAAATGCAGATTTTTTTTCTTAATTGCTTCCCATCCAAAAGGGATTTTCCCCTTTAGATTTATGGCCATATAAATACAGAGGATTAGGAAATGGGTTTTGTTTGCAGAGTGTGATTTATGTTACTGCAACTGCCCCGCCAGAGGAAAAATACTCTTAATTTTACTGTCACTAACACATTAGGTTTTATGTAAGGAGGTAGTGGCTGTTTTATTGAACTTATAAAATTAAAAAAATCTTCATCTCTTTACAGGAATGAGGACATTGAATTAATTCTCTCAGAAAGCAGTTTTTCAAGTCCTCAGATGATGAGAGCTCGGTATTTAATGTACCCTGGCTGGCAAGTATCTAGACTGAGAAGTATTAAAACTCTTTTTCTAATTAACTTGAAGATTAAAATGTTTCACTGACTTCATTGATACTTTTTTTTTTCCCCAAGACTACTCACTTGGAACAGGCAGCAGCTTTGTAAATCATTTTTTGAGGCAGCTGACGAGTTTTCTTAGCGGGTACACGACTGCTGCCCTTTGATGGGGAAAAAGGCTCCTTTCTGGACACCATTTACATCAGTGGCAAGATTGCTGCTGCTGTCCAGAAGAATGGGAAAGAACCCTGTGGGAATTAGCTGGGAAGGATTGGGATGGGTGAGGTCAATAATGACTGGAGTAATTTCACCCTGACAGCTATTCAGCCTCTCTGGAATGAACTTGCTCTGTCAGTGGAGCCATTAACAGAACAATTATTCACGAAAGGCACAGCCTCACTGACAGGCTTGGCACAGGCTGAGGGCACAAAAACCACGTGGCACCAAGATTTCCACTGAGCTCCAAGGAGGTTTTTCATGGATCAGGGCTCTTTCCACATCTTGTTGCAGTTATCTGGGCTGCACCTTTTTTGGCAGACATAGAAAAACCTGTCAGCCCTCCTAACTCCTGTGCTGGAAACTTGATTTATTTCTCATACCTTGCCAGGCCTGGATTTGTGTGTGTGTGTGCCTTTTTATTCATAAATCTGGTTGTAAATTGGAGGCTCCTGGAGAAAACTGGCACGAGGCTTGGGATGTTGGAGCTGCCTGGGGATTGTGTGGAGCCAGAGGGAGAGAAAGCAGGCAAAGAAAGGATTTCATAGAATCACAGGATCTGATTCTATTTAAAGCTTTAGGGCAGCTGTTGATCTGTTTGATGACAGTGGGAAGGAATTGTCTGTGGGCAGCGTGTTAGGAAAAGGAAAAGGCAGCAGGAGGAGCATCAAAACATGCAGGGAGATCTTGCAGCCTTCAACAGGGCTTGTGAAGAAGAGGGAGAGTGACTTTTGACATGGGCAAGGGAAAAGGGTTTTAAAGTAGAAGAGGAGGTTGAGATGGGATATTGGGAAGGAATTCCTGGCTGGGAGGGTGGGCAGGCCCTGGCACAGGTTGGGCAGAGAAGCTGTGGCTGCCCCTGGATCCCTGGAAGTGTCCAGGGCCAGGTTGGAGCACCCTGGGCTAGTGGAAGGTGTCCCTGCCCTTGGCAGGGGGGTGGAAATGATCTTTAAGATCCCTTCCAACCCAGACCATTCCTTGACTCTTCCATGAGAAGCAGCCCCGAGCCCTTTGACCAGCCTGGTGCTGTTGATGCCGCATTTTCACGGGCGTGTTGGAGAGGAAAGCTCGGTGCTTTTCCCCCTTGGGGGTGGGAGGGACCAGGTGTTCCTTTGGTGGGTGAAAGGCACAAGCTGAGGTGTTTTCTGTGTCTCTGTGGTTGTTTCTGTGCCAGGTATGAAGGCAGATACGGGGCTGGGCCCGTGTTCCCCCCCATGGTGCAGATCTGCGTGTGGTTCAGCCGCCCCCTGGAGAGGACACGATTCGTCAGCAAGTGCAAAGGTGCAGCTGAACTTTGCCCCACTTGACTCAAATCCAGCCTTGAAAGCCCGAGGAGTGAAGGGGAAGGAAGGCACTGACGTATTTACTTACTGCCCGAGTCCACTTTTTGATTGAAAATTCAGCTTTCCTTCCTAAAAGTGCAGTAAATTCTGTTCCTCGGTGTCTGCTCGGGAAAACTTGGCACGTGATTTTGTTCAGATAAAAATCTCGTGTAGTTTTTGGTTTCCAGGACTGAGACATTTGTGCTTTTTCGAATTTTTTTTATTTGCCATTTATTTTTTCTGTTCAGTTTTATTTGGTGGTGTTGAAATACAGTTTATAAGTGACCATCAGCTTTTTATGCCAAAATAACTCTTTGTAGCTACTGGAAAATAGGCTGAGCTCTGTTTTAGGCAAGTAGAGTAGATATAAAATCATGCCTTTCCTCAGCCAAGCAGTTTAAGGAGGATCATTTTCCTTCCCACACACACTGGAACCACTTCCTTGTGCCAAATACATGACATTTCCCAAACCCCAGAGCAAAGAAATGGGAGCACAGAGAAATGTTAACATGGTGGAACTCCAGGGACACAGCAGCTTTTCCCTTGGAAACGCTGGGGTGTGGATTAGGGATATCAGTAGCTCAGGTCTGAGCAGGAGCTGCACCAAGGAGAGGAAAAATAGGTGAGATAATGTATTTTTCTTCTGTTTCAAACAGCCATTAAGTCGTTGCTCAAGCCAAGCCCTTTCTCTGGGAACATTTATCACATCATGGGCAAAGTGAAGTTTTCAGGTAAGAGCAAATGACTGTTGAAGGGTTGTTTTGAGGTCTCACTATATCCATTTAAAAACATATTTCTGTGTTGAATTCTGATTGGTGATGTTGAATTAGATCAGCAATTACCAGGACATTTCTTCCTTCTGCCTTCTCCTTGTCAGACTCTGATAAAGTGATCGAGGTCTGTCACAACACCTCAGCGAATTCCCTGAGCCTGCTGCCTGTCCCGGAGGGGCCAACTCCTCCTGACTCCAGGAATGATCCCAGAGACTGCAGCACCCAACAGGAATACTTCCTGGTGTTCATTGGTTGCTCCCTGAAGGAAGAGGATATCAAAGATTGGCTCAGAGAAACAGCAAAACAGGTTTGTGGGCAGGTTTTCCTTTTGCTTCAGCCCTTGGCGTTTCTTCCCAACGAGAGAAATCCGAGCGTCTCCCTGAAACATTTCCATTTTTAATCCCTTTTTAATTCTGCCGAGGTGTCGCCATTCCAGGGTGCAGATGCATTTCAGAAAGGGGACCAGGAGTTCCTGTAACTGCTGCATTGTTTTAGGACTTGCTACAGCTCCTTCATGGATTGCTGTGCCCCTGAATGCTGGAGCAGTGTGGATTGTGTCCAGGGTAAACACGGGGTGATGCAGCTGAGCTGGGATAGTCAAGAGCTCGAGTGCAGCCTGAAATAAATCTCCTTCAAGTACCTGAACGCTGCAGAGCTGAACATTTGTTTGGATTTGCTAAATGAAACCTCCTGGGTTTAATCCACTGAGGAGATGGAGGGTTCTCCTCGCTCTGTCACCCTTCGTTAGTCGAGTGTGCAGCTCTGGGAGGCTGCCTGGAGTCCTGCAGGAGGAGCTGGGGTTGGGAATGGGGATGTGCCCGTTGGAAGGAGCCCAGAAGGCACAGTGTGCACCCAGTGATTGATAGAATCATCAATTCACACAATTACAGAATGCTTGGGTTGGAAGGGACCTTAAAGGCCATCTCATTCCAACCCCACACCTTCCACCAGCCCAGGTTGTTCCAAGCCCCATCCACCCTGGCCTTGGACACTTCCAGGGATCCAGGGACAGCCACAGCTTCTCTGGCCAACCTGTGCCAGTGCAAATTTTGGAACATTTGTTAATTTAAAATACTCCCAATCACTTCTTTTTATCTTAGGATTTACACAGTAGCTCTAAAAATTTGTGTAGGGAGGGAAAATATTTCCTACATACTGTTGGAGCAGTTTTTAAGGCTCCTCAGGTTCTCACCTCACTTCTGGCAGGGGGTGTCCCTTCAGGGAAATCATGGATTTTTTGTGGTTGCCTCGTGCTCTGCCCATTCTCCCAGGGGTAAAGAATTGCTCTCCCACATAAGAGAATGCTCTTAATTTTAGGAAAAGTTGGGATTTAAATGCTTCTCTCGAGTATGAAGTGTTTCCTCTTCGAGCAGCTCAAGACAATAAATAGTCTTTGCAATCTCCCCAGTCCTAATTTAGGGTTTCAGGTGGTTCTGAGAGTTACCACTTGCTGCATGAAAGAAAGGAATCAGAAAACTCCTCAGGCTCAAAGTGAAGTTGTTTTTCTGTCCCTGTGCCAGCTTGCTTCATTTCTTGCACTAAAGCTGCATTTAAATCCCAGTGTTTAAAATACATGTTGAATTTTTCTTTCCTAAGTGCTTTCTGTAAGATCAGTGAATTTTGACTTTTGCTTTCAGAACGTGGTTGTGAGCACCTCAGTGTAACTGAATAACTTTAGAAATCAATGTTTGAAATACTTCTATTTTGGTTGGTTTTGGGGGTGTTTTTTGTGGATTTTTTTTTTTTTTTTAAAAAGTGCTATCCCCTTGTCACTCAGTACTTATGCAACTGTCTCATTCTTCCTACAGAAACCTCAGAGGAAAGCCCTGAAAACCAGAGGAATGTTGACCCTTCAGGAAATAAAGAACATCCACGTGAGTGCAAGCAATTCCTTACAAGCCCTTTTCTTTTTTCTGGGCTGATTTCTTAAAAAAAAAATCCATTGGGATGACAGAGCACCTGCCACAACGAGTGTGCTGAGCACTGAATTATTATTATTATAATTATTATTAAGACTTGCTGTCTTTGTTGATCCTTGGAACACAACTGGAGCCGTCCAGGAGGGGTTTCAGATTTCAATCTTCGAGCTTCCAGTTCCTCTGGAAAGCAGGAGGAGCTGTAAGATCCTGGCCATCTGGAATGGTCCTCCCCTTTTTCTTTGACCTAGTGGAGTTTTTAGGGCCTGTGTTTGCACCACATCAGGTCTGAAATGTTAATGGTTTGTGGTATTTACTCCCTCATGCAGGTGAAGCGTCACTTGGATCCGCTCCCAGCCGGTTATTTTTACAACGGCACCCAGTTTGTGAATTTCTTTGGGGACAAAATGGATTATCATCCCCGTATCCTTTCAAAACAGGGGGGGTTTGGGGAAGGTTTTGAGCTGTAGAGTGTCAAAGCACCCGTGGTAAAGAGCCAGTTCCTTGCCATTTCCAGCTCAGCCTTGAATTCCTCCGAGATAAGATCTGAGGAGCAGAATGGAACCAACAAAACAATCCCCAAACTGCCCATGAGCTCACCCAGGGAAAATAATTTACGGGCCCACAGCTTGTCAAAGGGATATTTTTTTCAACCCAAATTGTGCTGTAATATCCCTGAGTGCCTGGGCACGATTGATAAAGCTTTCAAAGGGCTGGAATTTTGTGTGTGCACACACTGCACTGAGAACAATCCTATTTTTGGCTTTAATGTTGTTACTCTGGCATTTCTTGCCAGTGTTCCAGTGTATTCCTGTTCTTGGTTACCACCTGGGGCCATGGGTCAGTGGTGGCCTCGGCACTGCTGGGTTAATGGTTGGACTTGATCTTAGAGGTCTTTTTCAACCTTAATGATTCTGTGCTCCTCTCATTTTCATCACTTCCCGTGGCTTTTGTCGTTGTTTTATTCCTAATTTCCAGTTTGGTTTCATGTTCCAGCTTTGCTTTTCACCAAATTCAACGAACTTCAGGAAAATCCAAATGGGTTCTGTGATGCTGCTTTGGAATAAGAGCAAACAGTTATTTTCTGTGTCCTATGGGACAACTTCAGCAATTAAAACAGCAGACCTGGGCTTCAGGATTCACTGGAAAAGTTAGGAATGTTTATCCCTGGAAGTGTCCAAGGCCAGGTTGGAAAGGGCTTGGAGCACCCTGGGCTAGTGGAAGGTGTCCCTGCCCATGGCAAGGGGTGGGACTGGATGGTCTTTAAGGTCCCTTCCAACCCAAACCATTCCAGGATTCTGGGATTCCTTATTCCCCCTCCACCTTGGTGTTTGGCAGTGAAAGCTCCAGGCCCTGGTCAATCCTTTTAGCGGGATTTGAATTTTAGGCCAAAAATTTTTGGACTTCTGCATCACCAAAATACCTGTAAATATATTCACAGAGTCATGGGATGGTTTGGGTTGGAAGGGACCATAAAGCTCATCCAGTCCCACCCCTTGCCATGGGCAGGGACACCTTCCACCAGCCCAGGGTGCTCCAGCCTGGCCTTGGACACTTCCAGGGATCCAGGGGCAGCCACAGCTTCTCTGCCCAACCTGGGCCAGGGCCTGCCCACCCTCCCAGCCAGCAATTCCTTCCCAATATCCCATCTAACCCTGCTATAGTTCTTAAATCCTCCCTCCTGCCTGGGAAGTACCCCAGTGCAAGCCCTTTATTCCCTGCTCCCACAGCAGTCGTGCTCAGCTCCGACTGCTCCACTCCAGAAAGTCACACACTGAATTCCTGCTTTCCCTGAGCATCCCTGACCTGGCACATCCCTCAGCCCTGGATGTTTTCTCCTAAATGCCCTTTGCACCAAATGTTTGTCCTTAATTTTTCCCGAAGTGATGGACCAATTCATGAACGATTACCTGGAAGAAGCCAACAGGGAGATCGAGAAGTACAACAGGGAGCTGGAGGAGCAGGAGTACCACGACCTCTTCGAGCAGAAGACATAAAGCACGTGGGTCCTCGGGCTTTCCAAACCACCCCAAAATGCTCTTTTGTCCTCGCTGGGTCATCACTAGAAATTGTGAGGGAATTGTCTGGGTTTTTTTTTTGTTTTCCCAGCGCTCTTTTCCAAACTAAGAGGTCGTTCCTGTAAGGTTGGCGTTGAACACGGGATCTGCTTAGCTGTGTGTGCTGTCAGGTTTGCTTCCACTTCACCTTAATTCCAGACTGTCCAAAGCATCACCTGGAATCTCTGGGGAGTTTAGGGGGAACTTGTTCAAAAGAAGAACGAGAAGAAGAAGAAAAAAAAAGAAGAAGAAGAAAAGAAGCAAAACTTGATTTATTTCCTGTGGTTGTTTGGGAATGTAATTGTGGAATTGGGCTTTGTGCAGAGAAATCAAACTGCTCTGGGTGTCCCTTGGAATTTGTGGCACAGGAGCATCAGTGGGCAGTGCTGGATATCAGGATGTGGGATTGGGGATGTTCCCAAAGCCAGAAATGGGGGAACAATTCAAAAACTTGGAATCCTTAAACCTACAGCTGTGGGGATGTTCCCAAAGCGAGAAATGGGGGAACAGTGGGAAGAGCTCTGGAGAGTCCCCAATCCCACAGCTGGTGAGGATGTTCCCAAAGCGAGAGATGGGGGAACGAGTCAAAAATTTAGGATCCCTTAATCTGCAGCTGTCAGGATGTTCCCAAAGCCAGAAATGGGGGAATAATTAAAGAATTTAGAAGAATAACCAATCCCACAGCTTTTAGGTTGTTCCCAAAGCGAGAAATGGGGGAACAATGGGAAGAACTCTGGAGAGTCCCCAATCCCTCAGCTTTTAGGTTGTTCCCAAAGCGAGAAATGGGGGAACAATGGGAAAAACTTAGAAGTGTCAGTGTGTTCCCAAAGCGAGAAATGGGGGAACACTTACTTGAAGAAGTCCCTAATCCTGCAGTTTTTAGATTGTTCCCAAAGCGAGAAATGGGGAAACATTTTCAAATCTCAGAATTCCCAATCCCACAGCTGTGGGGTGTTCCCAAAGCGAGAAATGGGGGAACAATGGGAAAAATGCAGAAGAGTCCCTGATCCCACAGCTTTGAGGTTGTTCCCAAAGCGAGAAATGGGGCAACAGTTAAAGACTGGGAATTCCTAATCCCACAGCTCTCAGGGTGTTCCCAAAACGAGAAATGGGGGAACACTTAAAAAATTTCCATAGAAGAGTCCCTAAACCTGCAGCTGTTGGGCTGTTCCCAAAGCGAGAAATGGGGGAACAGTGGGAAGAACTCTAGAGAGTCCCCAATCCGACAACTGTGAGTTGTTCCTAAAGTGAGAAATGGGAAAACTAAAAAATGTACAAGAATTCCTAATCCCACAGCTGTGGGGATGTTCCCAAAGCGAGAAATGGGGGAACAGTGGGAAAAACTCAGAAGAGTCCCCAGTCCCATAGCTGTGGGGTGTTCCCAGAGTGAGAAATGAGGGAGCAGTTACTCAGAAGAATCCCACAGCTTTTAGGTTCTTCCCAAAGCGAGAAACGGGGGAACAATTCAAAACCTTGGAATCCTTAAACCTACAGCTGTGGGGATGTTCCTAAAGCGAGAAATGGGGGAACAGTGGGAAGAGCTCTGGAGAGTCCCCAGTCCCACAGCTGGTAGGATGTTCCCAAAGCGAGAGATGGGGGAACATTTTAAAACCTCAGAATTCCCAATCCCACAGCTGTCAGGGTGTTCCCAAAGCGAGAAATGGGGGAACAGTGGGAAAACTACAGAAAAGTCCCCAAACCCACAGCTGTGGGGTGTTCCCAAAGCAGGAAATAGGGGAACAATGGGAAGATCTCAGCAGAGCCCCCAATCCCACAGCTTTTAGGTTGTTCCCAAAATGAGGAATGGGGAACAGTGGGAAGAACTCTGAAGATTCCCCAATCCCACAGCTGTGGGGTGTTCCCAGAGTGAGAAATTGGGGAGCACTTAACTCAGAAGAGCCCCCAGTCCCACAGCTGTGGGGTGTTCCCAAAGCAGGGAGTGAGGGAACACTCCAGCCCTGCATTCCCGAGGGCACAGCCCTCGGAGGTCTCACCCTCTGCACAGTTTGATCTGCACCCGAAATTCTGACTTTTCTGAAGGAAAGGGTTTTATACATTTCAGGGGGAAATCAGGGGAGAAATCCCAATTTCTTCCCAGTGCTCTTTGTGGGGTTCTAGGAAATACTCCCTGGCTGTTGCTCAGATCCCTGAAGGAATCCTATTCCAGTCCTCTGAGCAAGGCAAGGGAAGATCCTTTAGCTGAAAAGGCTTCCTTTTCGTGGAAAACACTGATTTCCAAAGGTAAAAAAATATCAGTAGGGAGGGACTTGTTTGTGGGGCTCTCAGAAGGATTTGATCTGAGTCAGCTTTTACGGTTCCTAAATGCTGCAACAGGAGGGTTGGCAGCTTGGCCTGACTCAGTTTAATTTTAAGTCAGGCCTTGTAAATCACTGACTGAAGGTTTGTAAAGCACCTCAGCAGCTCCTTACAGGTATTAATTACAGGTATTAATTAGTGGGAATGAGCAGAATTCAGGTGGGAAGAGCCCAGGAGGGGTTTTTTTGTTTTCATCTCCCTGCCCCTGAGGGATAGTTCAGTCCTTTAATACCAACTGCAGCTCTTATTTTTTTGGTCAGATCCGTGTAAGACAGTGAGAAATGGAATGAAAAAATCTCTCAGAGGGTTTAAAACACTTCCCAAGTGTCTGCACGGTCTCATTCCGTGGTAGGAAAATGGGATTTCACCGTCCAACCTAAGGCTGATCCTGGTTTATGCCTCGCTTAGGAGATGGAATTTTTTTTTTTTTTTACCTTTGGAACATGAACTGGCTGAAATTTCAATAACCTGACATGCTTTTCAGGTGGTTTCAGCCCTTTTTTGAGGTGGTTTCACCCTGGAATTCCAGGTGCTGCAGGCTGGGATGGAGACCTCGCTACGGTTCCATTCCCGCTTTTCCCTCCCTAGATTTAAAAAGCTGATACTGTTTTTAAGTTTTTGTTTTTTTTTTCTTTGCACACCACGAGACTTGATATAAACTCCTTGTTGTCCTGTTAGAGGCCAGTAAAAGCCAGCAATTAGTTCGTGTTTTAGGCTTCCTGGGATATTCCCTGGAATACCACCCAGGGGTGGAGCATCCTGAGAAGGCTCGTGAGTTTTATCTATGCATGGCTAAACTTTAGTCTTAATTATCCTGTAGTGCCTGTAGAGCAAAGGTAGCAAAGCAGTGGATTTAGGGGGGGTTGGCAGGTGTTCACAGCTCAAATTCGTGGAGTTATTTATTCCAGAACTCCTGGAAGTTGTGGAATCCTGGCTGCGATAAAAAAGGGGGCGCCGGGGAATCGAAATCAACTTCGCGTCGTCGATTTAAAAACAGAACCCCGGGCGTGCTCCTTGCCAGCCCCGCTTGTCTCATCTGCAAAGCCATATCTCTAGAGTAGTGGGATGACTTGTGTAAGGTCAGAGGAAAAAAATTCCAGAGGCTGGGACACGGGGCAGGCTTTGTCCCAGCTCCTGGGAGCCCAGAGGTAGATTTTTGAAGTGCAATTGGTTGAAAATAGCTGAAGATGCTGTAGCTGCCGGGGCTCTGCTGAACTCTTTTTAAGAACTCCCAATTTGTGCAGCTGCTGGGGCTGAGCCAAAGCCCCTGCAAGCAAAAAAAAAAAAAAACAAATAAGAAATAAATGTCAAAAATTGGGTGTTTTACTGTGCAAATTGAGCTGTTCCTTAAAAACTGGAGCAGGAGAGCTCGGAATAAAGGCCTAGTGTCCTTCTCTGCTGTGCTGCATGTTCATGGTCATAGCTGTGTATTTACAAAAAAAAGACCTTTCACCAGACTGGGAAGAGCTCAATTCATGTATTTTTTGGTATTGAAAGGAATTACCTCAATTTTTACTTTTTATTTTGTCGAACTGTGACTTTCAACCAGAATTTAAAACTAAAAAATACAAATACAATACCGAAATGGTGAAACTGTGACAGTGGAATCCTTTAAAAACGTTGTAGTGCCTTGGAGTGACCCCATTTATTCCCCAAATAAATGGGAGTCGGGGTGGGGGGGGTGAATCCCCCCCCCTCCCCATTTTTGTTCTTTTTAAAGGAAAAACAGTTTTGGTGAAAGGACTTCAAACTTAACCTAGTGACAAATATTATTAGCACAACTGGTTAAACTGTTGAAAAGAAAACTCTTTGAGGACTGAAATGTGTCAATGAATGCCTGATGCTGCTGATATTCAAGAGCAGCTGCTGATTGCTTGGGAGTTATTTCTTAACAATCAGCAGCGCTTTTGTTTTGGTTTTGTTTTTTTTTTAGAAAAAAAGTGTAACTTTTGTACTCTGGTCAGAGCTGTTTGTACTGTATCGACCCCCAGCCAAGGGGCAATCTGATTCCTCCCTCTTTGGAAGTCGAGGTGAGGGCAGAGCCACTCCCAAGGATCTAATTTTGAATATTTTTTAGCTACTGTATAACTAAAACAAACAAACAAACAAACAAACAAAAACGGAACAAAAAACACCTTTGGGACCCACCGATGTTTGGATACAGCAAAAGTGCCATTAACGCTTCCTTTCTCTTGTGACGTAGATGGAAAATTTGTGTCCAGGCATTTTCTGATCCCGGGGTGGGGGGGAGAAAAAAAAAAAAAAAAAAAAAAGTGCTGAGAGTCCTCAAGGGGTTTCCACGCTTTGCTGATCTCCACGCCAGCGGCTCGTGGTGCTGTCGGTGTCGTCGTTTTTATCTCTTTTCTCCTCACCAGGAATGAGTGCGATCAGAGGTCACTGAAGTTATAGGGACAGTAAAAATAAATTATAAAAAAATAAATTAAAAAAAAAAATGTGAGAAACTTAGGAGAGGAAAACCTTTGCAGCTCGAGCTGCTCTGCAGTCGGGGGGGTGTTTGAGATTAATCCGTGCAATTTGGTTATTTAATCCGCTATTTACACTTCGCATTAACACGACCCGATTGCAGGCTGGGGCACTAAAGCTGCACGTCCAGTTCCCTCCCTAAGTTGTCGTCTTTGTGTTGTTGTTTTTTTTTTAATTATTGTTATTTTTTAATCGAAAACTTGTCTGAATTTGCACAGATTCAAGCTCTTGGAATACTTTGGTATTTTTCTGAAAAGGGAAAAGAAAGAAGAGAAGAAAAAAAAAAAAAGAAACAAATTGTGGCTAGCGGAGCGAATTGTAAACTGTGAGTTGGTAGAACCACGTGGCCGATCTCACCTTAGACGGTTCAAAACGTACCTCAGAAAGCTGCTTGTCCTCCCCCAGCGCTCGGTGTGTAACACTTTGTAACACTTCCCGCCCCACAACGTGCCAAAAGTCACTTTTGTGGTAGTTCTCGATGCTTTAACGCTCGCAGCTTCCGAGTGAAAAATGAGATGAAATCCAGTTAAACCCCACGTGTTCTTTTACCAACACTGCTGTAACTTCAGTCCAGCTGAACGGTGTGATTGGAGCTTTTTTTGCCTCTCGTATTTATTATTACACGACTCGAGTCAGTAAAGGGTAAGATTGACCTTTCCATTTATTTTTGTATCGTTTTACATGTTTATACCTTGCGGTTTTGTGCGTGACTTTTACACCTGTTAACTCCGATGTGATGGAGAGAACCAATAAACACAATCCATCCACGGCCTGGCCTTGACTCCTTCCAGAAACTCACTGGGTCCTAAACTGGAGTTTTTAAAACTTTCATTCAAAATTTGTTTGTTTTTTTTTAAACAGGCAGAAAGGTGAGTAGTTTATATTTAAATTAGAATATAAAGATTTAAGGGTCTGGGAGGTTTTTTAGCTGCTGTTTTCAGTGTAGGCCTTCCTGCTTGTGCTTTTAACGGGGTGAAGTTTGAAGGTAATTGTAGGATGAAGGGCATTACCCTGCTTTGTGCTGCTGTCCCTGCCTTCCAGCAGCTGCACGTGAGTGTCAGTTGATCACTGCAGACACACAAATGCAGGGGCAGCCCCATAAAAACGAGGCTGCAGCTCCAGGATCAGCTCCAGGATCAGTTCCTGGATCTGAAATCAGGCTGTGCCACCGAGAGGCCAATCCCACCTTACCCTCCTTTCCCTGCCTCGGCGGCTGAGCTGACTCAGAGCAGCTCTGCTGATTCAATCCAACCTGAGGATGATTTGCTGTCTGCATTTGGCATCACTTCTGGATTTCCTGTGGGAAGGTTTTGTGCTCCATTTGATCTTTAGGAAGGGTTTATGTTAAGCCCAGCCTGGTTTGTGTATTCCAGGTGGGCACACAAGAAAACAGCAGCTTCTGGGGGCATTCCTGAAATCCAGGAGTGTCCCCTGGCTGTGCAGCTGGGTTTGGGAAAGCAGCTTCCACTTGTAAATCAGGAATTTGTGTCCCAGCCTCAGGGCAGGGATTTAAAATCCCTGTGGATGTGGCACTTGGGGACATGGGGCAGTGATGGCCTTGGCAGTGCTGGGGGATGGTTGGACTCGATGATCTCCAAATGCTTTTCCCACCTGCACAGCCCTGTGATTCCCTGGTGATGGATGGAAGTCACCAGTTCAGCGTTGGGTCAATAAACAGGACCCATCCCAAGGACTCTGAAACCTTTCCCAGAGTGGTGGGATGATCGACGAGCTTTGAGCCACCAGCAGCGCTTCCTCCACGGGGGATCAGGGTTGACTCTGCTCTTGGTGGCCTCAGGAAAACAGTGTTTGGGGGAAATCCCTGTGTTGCAGGATCAGAGGGATGATTATTCAGAAGTGGAATTATTATTCCACTAAGACCAGGTTGCTCCAAGCCCCCCTTGTAGATCCCTGGGGTAACCTTTGCTTTTTCTGGTCACTTGTGCTCAGGTGTTGAACGTCCCAAACCCAAAGTTTGTGGAGCAGTGGGCAAAGATAAACACAGACTGGATGCTGGGAGGCAGGGCTGGAATGATGGGAGCATCCTGCTCTCCTGAAACTCCTTAAAAAGGAGTCAGTGAAGAGCAAAACTAATCAGAGAATCAGGGAATGATGAGTTTGGAAAAGCCCTCTGAGATCACCCAGTCCAACCATTCCCCCATCACTGCCAAGGCCACCACTGACCCCTGTCCCCAAGTGCCACATCCACAGGGATTTTAAATCCCTCCAGGGATGGGGACTCCCATTTTGATGAGTCTGGTTGTATCTGGAGAGGTTTCAAGCCCTGCTTTCCATCAGCTCCCTGTGAATTCCTCTGGAATTTCTTTGCCTACGTGTCCACCCGACAAACGGCCCCCTCTTTAATCTTCATCATTCTCCAACCTAATTAAAGGAATGAATTCCCAGCAGGAATTGCATGGAAATGGAGCACTTGTTAATTGAATAGCCCTGGGCTTGGCTCCCATTGTGCACGTTCCACAAGGTGCTCCTGTGATCCCTCCTATTGAATTGGCTTAAAATAAACCTTTCTCGGGGCAGTTTGATGTCTTGGTAGGAAAGAAAACACCCAATGGGCAAGGCCTGGAGGGTTTCAATGGCTTTACTGCTCCAGGGCAGACAGAGGGGTGGGGGGAGAAAAAAAAAAAGCATGGAAAAATCTGGGTGCCCCATTCAGGGCTAGGAAATCACACAATTCATTGTGTGGGTCGCTGTAAATCCGCCCCACACGAGCGAAGCAGGAAGCTTCCAACAGTTCAGATTGAGCTCAACCCCACCAAAACCCTGCCATTTTCCCCTGTTATCAAAGTTAGCTCAATATTTGCTTTATATACATCCTGTTCCTGACTTTGACTCCCCCCCTGCACTCACCTTCCTGCCTCCAAAAAATCGGATTTATTGCAGGGCCCTGGTGCTCCCGAAGCTCTGCCTCGGCTGCTTTAACTCTTTATCTTGTCAGCCCCCCACGAGGGTTTTGGCCACGGGCTTTCCTTCACCTCTGCTGGTTCCCTGGAGCCCTGGAGCCAGGATACCTGAGGGTCAGGAGTCCTGTCCCTCCATCCCTTGTCCCCAGGGAATTCTCTTGGATTTCCCTGTGGAACCTCTTGAGATCAGGCTGAAGTTCATCCTGTCCCAGCAGGCACAGCCCCTGCTGCCTTTGCTGGCACCAGGAAGAGCACAAAGATGGAATTACAAATTGTGGAGCCCCTTTTGTGTCTTGTGCTGTCCGGGCTGAGCTGCCCCACTCGGTGGGTTCCATCCTGAACGGACCACCAGGATCACAGCACACAGAGAGTGGCTTCCCACTGCCAGAGGGCAGGGAGAGATGGGATATTGGGAAGGAGTTGCTGGCTGGGAGGGTGGGCAGGCCCTGGCACAGGTTGCCCAGAGAAGCTGTGGCTGCCCCTGGATCCCTGGAAGTGTCCAAGGCCAGGTTGGAGCACCCTGGGCTGGTGGAAGGTGTCCCTGCTCATGGCAGGGGGTGGAACTGGATGAGCTTTGAGGTCCCTTCCAACCACAACCATTCTGTGATTCTGTGATTCCCTGCAGCTTTCCCTTCTTCTGGAGATGGGGTTAAAAAACTCCTTGAATTACGATTTTCTTCCCTCCCCCAAAAGAAATCCAGAATCCCTGCTGCCCCCCTGCCCCAGGAGCTGCTCCCTGGCAGTGGGATGTGCTCAGGACAGAGTGGGGCTGATCAGAGACTTCTCCAAGCCGTGGCCTGGGCTTGGCTCGTGCTGCAGATTAAAATCGGGGCTGCAAAGCTAACGAAACACAAAAGGCCTGGCTTTGGTTTGGGAAGGGTGTCCCTTCCGCCGGCTCTTTGTTTGGGAAGGTGAGGTGGGGTGCAGGCTCCAATAATAACCTTTCCTGGGAACGTGATGGCTCTCAGGAAGCTCAGGGAAAGAGAACAGCCCGGCCCCAGGCAGGGCATGGGATCCTGCAGGGAATGTGGGAGGTGGGGTGGGTGCTCCTCACCCCCACCCAGACCGTGCCTGTCCCTGACCCATCCTGAGGCACTGAGACAGGTTGGGGACGTGGTTGTGGCTGCTCCTGGATCCCTGGAAGTGTCCCAGGCCAGGCTGGATGGGGCTTGGAGCAACCTGGGCTGGTGGGAGGTGTCCCTGCCCATGGCAGGGGGTGGAACTGAGATGAACTTTAAGGTCCCTTCCAACCCAACCATTCACCATGGAGGTGATTTGGTGATTGTGGGAAGGAAGGGTGCTGGAATTCAGTGCTGGAAGCATGGAGTGCTGGAATTCAGTGCTGGAAGCATGGAGGAGCTCAGCACCGTGGAGGAGCCTCGTTGGGATGGGTCTGACATCCCAAAGCAGCACTGGAGGGCAGAGCTCCTCTGCAGGAGGAGGAAGGGGAACCAGGAATGCTCCCAGCCCAGGGTGTTCACATCCAGGGAGGGATTGTGGCACTGGGAAGCAGAGGGAACACCTTCTTATGGGGTTTCTTTCTTCCCATTTCCTCCTGGAACAAACCACAAGTTTCCTTCCTTACAGTTGGAATCAGCAAATCACAGAATGGTTTGGGATGGAAGGGAGATGAAGAATCACCTCAATTCCACCCCCTGCCATGGGCAGGGACACTTTCCACTGGCCCAGCATGCTCCAGCCTGGCCTTGGACACTTCCAGGGATCCAGGGGCAGCCACAGCTTCTCTGGGCAACCTGTGCCAGGGCCTGCCCACCCTCCCAGCCTCCCACAGGGAATGCAGCTGCCATGAGGATGCTGGAAGTTGCCATTACTGGAAGTTGCCATCCCTGGAAGTGTCCAAGGCCAGGTTGGATTGGGCTTGGAATGACCTGGGTTGGTGGAAGGTGTCCCTGCCCACGGCAGGGGGTGGAATGAGATGGTGTTTAAGGTCCCTTCCAACCCAAATCTTTCTAGGATTCCAAGGCAAAAGAGAAGCTTGGTAGAGGATGCTCAGCTTTACTGAGGAAAACATTCCTTAAAGGTTTGGAGCCATCCCTGAGGCTTTCAGTCATCCTTGGAGAGTTCTGACACCTGTGCAAGCCTAAAGTCCACGGCAGACTGATCTCAGCCTGCCAACCAGGACAGATTCCTTTTTGTAACTTAATTAAATTGCCTTTTTTCCCCTCTCTCTCTTTTTTCCTCTCTTCTGCCCGAGTGTCAGAGCCTTTCAGCTCTTTCCATATCACACAGAGCCAGATTTCCTCTTCCATTTGCAGCTGGAAGGAAAGGGAGCTGGAGAAGCCTGTTCAGAAAGAAAAGTTGATGGGGTTTGGAGGGGTGTAAATAGTGGTTTCTGATGATGCAAAAGCCCAGCCCTGGTGCTGGAAAAGTGAGGGAATCTCCTGTCCAGCCTGGGAGGAAAAGTTCAGCTCAGAGCACCGAAATCTTCCTGCCTGATGCTGCTTCTTACTCGAGCCTGCAGGTGATGCAAGGAGGGCACAACCTTTGATTCAGGGGATAAATCCAGGCCCCCCAAATCAGCACATTTCTGGTGGAGATACTGGAGTAAAACCTGAACTTTTATATTAATAAATACCATGACCTGAAAACATCCCCCCCCACCTGACCCAGCCTGGCTGTCCCACCCTGTGGTGCCACCTCGACCTCAGGGGACCAAGTTCTCTCAGGGAAGAAGCATTTCTGGAGAGAAAAAAACCCCACCCTTCATCCAGAGGGTCAGGAGTGCCGTGAATCCATCAGCAGCAGGTAAAACTCACTTTTAAATAAAGAAAATCCTTCAGGAAAAAAACAATGAAGCCAGGCTGGGAGAGCTGGGGGGTTCCCCT